AGACTAAAGTGTGATTTCAAGGAAATTTTCATAATAAATTTATTTAAAATATTTAAAAATTACAAAAATATAATCGCATAGTGAAAGGAATAATGCATCTAAGTCCGGATTAATAGTGCGAATAAGTCTAGGCGAACAATACCAATGAGTCCGAGTGAATAATATTTTGAATAGTGTAATAAATAGTAACTAATAGTTTTAATTTAGTTTTTTTTTTGTAATATATGTTATCTTAGGTAGGATACTAAAAGATTATTATTATCCTTTTTTTCATTGTAACCAATCTTTTATCCGCGATCTTTATATTGACCAATCTTAGATTTTTTAATTGTTTTAGGACTAGGTGAGGACTTTATTTTTCATATTTTCTCTCTTGTTCGGATTCTAACATCCCATGGTATAATTATTATAGATAATAAACATGTTTTATAAATATTAAATATGAAAAATACCATCAGCTTTTTTTTTTTTTTGCCTTTTCTATTCTTCCCTTTTTATTTTTCTATTTATTGTTATTTTATTGCGGTATGGTAAATGGAAGGAAGTGTATTTCTCTCTTCTTGCATAACGCAAGAAAACAGGTTATTTTAAATGTTAAAAAAAAAAAAAAGGATGTAATGCTGACAAAATATTTTTCTTCTCCCCATTTCTTTGCCAAAAAAAAAAAAAAAAAATGCGGATGTGATATGGATATACTTTTCCAACAATACATTAATTCATTCTGTTGACTCGCCGGAAAATGTTGCCTTAAACCATGTCTTGATATTTAAGAAAGGTTAGAGGCGGCTATGGGGTCGTTTAGACTTTTAGATGCCTTGATTATACTGTCCCCTCTTCCATGGATTATGGATCCATATTGGTATTATTACTTACGTGTTTCACCTGCACAATGTTACAAATTGGATAAAACACTCAAAATTATTTTTAAAAAATCATTTCAGTTTGATATATCGTATTATATTATACATCTATCAAAATATATCAAATCAAAACTAAATAAAAATTTATTTAATTTTTTAATCAAAACTTTATATTTGATTGATTATTTTTTATATTTTTTATAAATTTTTAATTAAAAATATTATTTATTTATCTTTATCCACATTCTTAAATAAAAAATTTATAATGATGTAAGAAAAAAATATCAAAATCAATAGATTCTTAACTAAAAACTTATTTTATAAATTATTTTTTTAAAATATTTTTTTAACCTTAAAATTTTTAATTAAAAAAAAGAACCAAAGTGATCAAAATGAAACAAAAATAAAGATCAAAACGAAATAAAAAAATTTATGAACTAAAAAACAATATTTAAAAAAAAGAAGATAATATCATGAAAATTTTCATAACAAATATATTTTAAAAAATTGAAAACTTAAAAAATATTCATACATAGTAAAAGAAATAATACATGTCTTGATAAATAATATAAATAATAATACAAATAAATATGTAAGAATAGTATTTCAAATGGTATCGATGAATGGTAAACAATGGTTTTACTATAATATTTTTTTATGGATCATTAAAAAAATATTATTGGAGATAATATTAAATAAGTGTGATGACCAGTATTAAATCACCAAAGATGATTAAGAGCTTGGATCCGTATCAGAAAATTTCTAGGACACCAAGTACAAGAAGAGGTGAACCACAAGCAAGATGCCCACTTGCCACCACGGACAGCTACCCCTCTCAAAAGTCAAACCCTTGTTTTTTCTATCAAGCTGTTGCTACGAACAAGAAGAAAGCAACACAAAAATCTTCCTCCGAGCCCTCCCATTCCTCCATTCCTTAAACACCCGATCCATCTATCCTTTCTTCTTTTGATTTTTTTGAATTGCCATCAAACCCTCCATACCTTTTTTTAACTACAAAAGATAGTTTTTAACTTGACTGGCTAATAAATTTTAAAATACTTAAAAAAATAATAAATAATATTTATTCTATAAACTCATTTTAGAAAGATAATCAGACAAAAAAAATTATATTCTAATCCAATAACATTTTCTAGCTAAATGGGTCAAATTTTTATTGAATTTTAACTCATATGAAATTGAATTTTTGAATTTTCAATTTGATTTTTAGAATTTTTTAATTTTTTAGAAGATCTAATATATCCAATGATTTTCAATTATTATCTCTCATGACACTAAACCCATTAGTATTACTATAATCACTCACTATATTGTTTGAGAAGGTTTTTTTCTATATTAATTTGAATCTTGTATTCTTAAAATATATATATATATATATATATATATATTTAGACCCTCTATCTTTCAAAATTTGTTGTTTCGGACTTTACATTATAACGTTATAAATCACTAATTGATATGTGATAATTAAAATAAGAAATCTCAAAAAATAAAAATAATTAATCAAATAAAAATAATTCAAAGAATATAAAGTCAAACTGTAGAAAAAAAATTCATTTTTTAGACACCAAAGGGTTCAAATGTTTTTTTACTATAAAAAATGACAAGAGTAGCTCTTTTTTGTAGTGATAACCAATTTAGTTGGTCGGGATAATATGACTCCCTCTGGTACGCTCTTAACTGCTAACTACTGACGCTAATCATCTAATGTCTTACAACTAAGCCGACTGGATGGTCCCTATCTATAGCAAATAAAAAAATCCCTTTTTTTTTCTTCCTTAAAAGAGTTATCAAAGGATAGCAGAGTTCAATCAATACCAAATACATTTACCAGCAGCCTCATAGTCATTCTCCAGCAGTCCAAAGATGGAAGCCATCCTACTATACTCCCTCCTATCCATTTTCTTCCTTGCACTTCCCATCAAGTTGTTGCTACGAACCAGAAGGCAACACAAGAATCTCCCACCAAGCCCCCTTGCTCTGCCAATTATTGGCCATTTCCATCTCCTTAAGCAACCCATCCACCGATCACTACAAAATCTTTCACAAAAATACGGTCCCATCTTCTCTCTAAAATTCGGTTCCCGCCTTGCCATCATCGTGTCATCCCCTTCAGGTGTAGAAGAATGTTTAATCAAGAACGACATTGTTTTCGCCAACCGTCCTCACGTTTTGACTGGAAGATACTTAAATTACAACGACACCACCATGGGAACAGCCGACTATGGTGATCATTGGCGCAACCTTCGCCGCATAAGCGCTATCGAGATATTCTCTTCAACTCGTCTCAATTCTCTTCTGGGCATGCGAAAAGATGAAGTCAAGATTTTGCTGAGGAGACTATACCGTGTTTCAAGTCAAGGTTTCGCTAAGGTAGAGATAAGGTCCCTGCTTTTAGATTTGACGACTAATATAATGATGAGAATGATTGCAGGGAAGAGATATTATGGCGAAGGTGTTGATGAAATTGACAAGGCGAGGGAGTTTAGAGAGATCATGGAAGAGTATCTTCATTATAGTGGTGCGGCAGATGCAGGGGATTTTCTTCCCTTCTTGCAGTGGTTTGATTTTAATGGATATGTGAACAAGTTGGATATACTTAGCAAGAAGATTGATCTGTTCTTCCAAGGATTGATTGACGAGCATCGAGCTGACAGGGACAGAAACACCATGATTAACCATTTTCTTACTTTGCAGGAATCGCAACCTGATTATTACACAGACGAAATAATCAAAGGCCATGTTCTGGTAAACAAAATCTATTTCTTTTCTTTGAATTTGCATGTTTGCTTCATTCTTTTCACTTTCTCTGTGTTCAAATACTGTCAAACCTGAACAGATTGAGATTCTTTCATGTGTCCTAGCGATCTGTGAGCTGTGTTCTGTAGACTAAAAAAGGGCATTTTTATGGAAATTCTCAACCTCAGATTCCAAGTCCTTGAATTCAGTATATATTGATTGATTTCTTTTGCAGACCTTGTTGGTTGCAGGAACAGAAACAAGTGCTACATCTTTAGAATGGGCGCTTGCCAATCTGCTCAACCATCCAGACGTGTTAAAGAAAGCTATAGCAGAATTGGACACTGAGGTTGGCCAAGATCAGTTGATAGATGAGGCAGATTTTCCAAAACTACAGTATCTTCAAAATATCATCTCCGAGAACTTGCGTTTATATCCAGTAGCTCCACTCCTAGTACCACATATGTCATCTGCTTACTGTGCTGTCGGAGGATACGATGTGCCGGCTAAGACAATGTTGTTTATAAATGCATGGGCTATTCAAAGAGATCCCACGTTGTGGGATGAGCCAACAAGTTTTAAGCCTGAGAGATTCGAAAATGCAAGAGTTGAAGCATACAAGCTGATGCCGTTTGGTTTGGGAAGGAGAGCTTGTCCTGGGGATGGCCTAGCAAACAGAATCATGGCCTTAACTTTGGGTTCCTTGATTCAGTGCTTCGAGTGGGAGAGAATTGGTGAAAAGGAAATTGACATGACTGAGATCACAACAATAACCATATGCAAAGCTGAATCCTTGGAGGTCATGTGCAAAGCTCGCTCAATTCTAAACAATGTTCTATCTTAATTAAGCTTAGAGTTTATTTTTTTTACATTTGGATCCAGTACTCTTTGAATTTGTTCTATTAAGATCTTCTACTTTTTTTAATTTGATTAAGACCTTTTATTTTTTGAAATTTTTTCTCTATACCCTCTTTAATAATGTCATCAATCAATAATAGATATTTTTTCAAGATTTTTTGAAACAAAAAAAAAATTAAAGAATAAAAAGTCTTAATAAAAATAAAAAATTAAAAAATCTTAATAAAAATAATTCTGTCCAAAAAGCACTGATATTAGTTTGTCTAAAAATAATTGACAACCAATGCCATGAAAATTCAAAATAAATCCTAAGCCCATCAAAACAACTTTCTTCCTTTTTCTTATGATACCATGGTTTACACTTACGCTTAAAGCTCCAATCCTTTTAGCATTAAAGGCAACTTTGTATGTAGTCTTATCCGCTCCAAGGTTGTCCTCTTCTAGCTCTAAATGCACTTTTATATGCTCATAATTATGGGGAAGAGAGCATATGAAAGCTTGGACTTGCTGCTCATCTGTTAATTCATGACCCATTTTCTCGAGCTAACTCACCATATTGAACACCATGAAATCATATGGAACACATGGAGAAAGGAAACAAGAGCTGCACCAAAAAGCAACAAACATAAAAGCAAAAAGGCTTTGTCCCCTGGTATAATAGGGTCCCAAGTTTGCCAAGCAGCTGGACCACAGAGGATCTTGTATCAGAGTAGGAAATCCTGAATTTTGTATTTTTGAATCATTTAACTAAATAATGTAAATTTTCATTAATATCTTTTTCTGGAACGTCAAAATATAGTGGAATATAATAAATTTGTTAAAGTTGAGAGGATATTTTTTTCCCACTGGTTAAGTAATAATTTAAGTGTAAAAAAATATAAGTAAATTATAAATTACTCCTTCTAGTTTTTTTTTTAAAATTAATTAGTCTCCTCGTTTCAAAAATAATTATTTAATCTTTTAATCACTATTGATCATGCTTAATTTAATATTATTTTTAATTTATAAAATCTCTTATTTTCTCATCAATCTTTTCATATTTATTTATTAAAAAAATCAAAATAAAGTAGAAATTCATTAATATCTTTTTCTGGAACGTCAAAATATAGTGGAATATAATAAATTTGTTAAAGTTGAGAGGATATTTTTTTCCCACTGGTTAAGTAATAATTTAAGTGTAAAAAAATATAAGTAAATTATAAATTACTCCTTCTAGTTTTTTTTTTAAATTAATTAGTCTCCTCGTTTCAAAAATAATTATTGAATCTTTTAATCACTATTGATCATGCTTAATTTAATATTATTTTTAATTTATAAAATCTCTTATTTTCTCATCAATATTTTCATATTTATTTATTAAAAAAATCAAAATAAAGTAGAAAAATAACAAAAATGACTAAATTACAAGAAGATTTCAAAACTTATGGATTAAATAATTAATTTTTATAACAAGAGGTACTAATTAATTCATTTCTCAATATGAAAGAGACCAATATATAATTTACTCAAAACTATTGGAAATTATACTATTATTTTAGAGTAAATTATAAATTAGTCTCTCTAGTTTTGAGAAATAAATTAATTAGTTTATCTTGTTTCAAAAACTAATTATTTAGTCTATATATATATATATATATATATATATATATATAACTAAATCCCTTTCTCTCTTTTTTAATTTATTTTAATTTTTTGTTTTAAGAAATAGAATAATAAAAGATATAAAAGCATTGATGAAAAAAGATATCAATTTTTCAAATAAATTAATATTAAATTAAACATAATTAACAACGAGTCAAGGACTAAATAATTAGTTTTAAAATTAGTAAACTAATTGATTTGTTTCTCAAAAATAGTGGGACTAATTTATAATTACTCATTATTCAATACAAAATTTGTTAGCTATCACAAATCACAAATATTGAGTGTATTGTGGTCCAAATAATCAAATCATAAATAAAAAATAAAAATTTCACATTTCCGATTAGGGCAATGAGTAATCACATTACACCCCAACCGACCCCAACACCAACACCACCACCCCCAAAACATAAGGAAAATTACATAGGGAAACCTCAAGTTAACCCCTAATATATTATCTCATTATAAATTGAGTCCTAAACCTTCTAAGGAGGTGTTTGATAACCTAATTAAGTAACTTAAAAAATTAAGTTGTACTACTTAATATAAAAATTTTGTTTGATAACTTAAATGATCTCATATTAAAACTTTAAGTTCGATTAAAATCTATTTAATCGGATAAGTTAAAATTTTTAACTTATATGATTAAGTCAAACTCTCTCTCTCTCTCTCTCTCTCTCTCTCTCTCTCTCTCTCATATATATATATATATATATATATATATATCGAATTTATAAATTATAATAATATATTTTGAAAAATAAAATACTCATTTGAAAAGCATAAAAATAATTCATTATATAAATTATAATAATATATTTTTAAAACATCGACGTTATAAAATTTTATTCCAAAATTCATATATTAAAAAATCAAATTTATTAACAAATAAAATGATATCAAAAATTAATTTGATGAGAATTTTAGTAAGAAAAAATAATTGAAAAAAATAAATTTTAAACAATAAGAGTAATATAATCGGATACATATGTTCAAATTAAAATCTTAAAAAATATCATACATATTCTATCATCTTCAAACATGCTTATTATATTCAATACTTAATTTTCAGTAAATACCAAACGACTTATCGAACATATTCGACTTACGATTCATCACTTAAAATTCAGTACTTAATAAATTCAACACTTAATTTTCAATTTTATCAAACACCACCTAAGTGTATCAATTTTGTCCAAGTATAATGAACCTTAGACAATGTCACCACTCAATCCATCCATTATTAGTGACAATTATATATATCAAGGAAAACCTCGATTTAATAGAAAATCTAATGACTCATTCTCAATTAAGTCCCAACCTATCAATTTTGTCCTAACACATTTCATAGAAATTCCCTAACCAGTCTTTTTGTTAATGTTTATTGATATTTTTCATTTGTTTTTTTTAATTGATTTGAGTGCATAAAATATGCCTATTAGATTGAAAATATTAATGTTCATTAAAATTTTTGACACGTTTTCTTCAAATCGACATCAAATTAGTGAAATTTAGAAATTTGCACATTAGACTTAAACTATTAGAATAAACTAATAAAAAGATGCAATTTAGAAACATAATAAATTTTTGGGACCTAATCGATAAAATTTATAGGTTTTGGATGCTATTGAGAAAAGGCATATACGTTTGAGACTAAGTTGAGGCTTCTTCTAGTTATAATGTTCAATGATCGTTAAATATTTTCATTATTAAAAAAAATCTCTATACCATGAAAAATTATCTTAGTACAAATTATAAGAAATTTTCATTTTACACAATCTAGCGAAATTGAGGGAAAAAAGTTAGTGCGTTTTTTATGCTAAATATTTTTTAAGACATTTTCATGCTTATTTGATGTCTTGGATGGATGGAAGTACTTAGTAAGCATGTACAAATTGGACTGATTATTTATCTATCTTTTTTTTTCCAACATTAAAGATATTTTTATATGTAAATCGAGATTAAATCTCTAAGTATTGATCTCACGATTTGAGTTTATAAAGTTAAAGAATGGAATGAACCTAGTTAACTACCAGACCGAGATTAATTATCACTGACAATAGATAGATGGAGAAGTCACATTGTCTGATGTCCATCATGTTCAAAGCAAAATCAATAAAATTAAAAAGTTTCGGACTCAATTAATAATAAAATAAACCGTTAGAAACCAGATTAAAGTTTCCCAAATTTATTTACATCATGGGCTTGAGGGAAAATGTGGGATGCTATCTAGAAACTTGAGGTTCTTCTACGAATCAAACTTGGGATGTTATCTAGAAACTAACGTATCAAATTTCCACGTACGTTTTAGAGTCTTGAGGCACCCCAAGTTTAGCCGTGAAATCTGCCGAGTTTTTTTTTGTACTTTTCTTAATTGTAGTAGTCAAAAATGTGTTTATTATTATTATTATTATTATTATTATGTTCATTCAAACTATGCAAAGTCAGGAGTATGATTGTTTTAATTACTTTTTATTATGAAGTACTACCTAAATTATTATTACCATCACTTTTTTTAGATAATTATAAATACACACTTCATCAATTTTCAATAACTATTATATAATAAATATTAATAATTTTTTAAAAAATTAATGAGAATAACAATTTAATTGATAAGTTTAATAATACCTTTTATTATATTGCCGAGTTGTTCTAACGTATTTGGACTTGGGATACGATGTCTGTTACATAATCTTAAAAGATATTATTCCATGAATATCCTCTAACAGAAGGTTAATACAACTTACTGGAACAAGAATAAAATACAAAATACCTAAAAAAGAAAATAAGCATGAGCGGCAAGCTAGTCAGCCACACTGCTTATGATGCTTAATTATTTCCAAGAATAATGACCTGTAAAAAGAATTTTTTTTTATAACAAAAACATCACCAATACTCACATACAATAATATATGCATAAAAAATAGAGTTTTTTACATTATAGGTAGTTCGGTATTTTTAGATTAATTTTTACATCAATCAAGATTAATTTTTTTTTTTTAAATTAAGTCATCATCGAATCACCTTTAATTTTTTATTATAAGAAGTAACCTCTACGGGCTTACTAATAATTAATATTAAGTGATGAATGAGAAACACTTTTTTTATCCCTCTGTGTACAATTTTTGGTAATGACATGACATCTTTATTTGTAACATTGTCGTTAAAAAAGAAAAATCAACCTTTAAGACTCATTAATTCTGCTTAAGTAGAAAATGTTGGGGGTATGAAATAAGTTTGCCCTTTATTGAGCAAAATGGAAAACAACAAGTCTATTGACAAATAGGATCCTCATTTGTTATGATTCGATTCGAGTCCGATCCATTGACAATCTTAAGGATTGGTCTAATGTTCATATATGGCAATCTGATGGTCAAGAAAATCTATTTTGTTTCTTTTTTTGACATTTTGAGTTTAGATAGTAGAATCATCATCCACATAACTTATTTATAAAATAGACTTTAATCGAGGATATTTTTAAAAAATACATCATCTAAAGTTTTGACTGGATAAGTATTTCGAGACAAATATAAATAAAAAAATAGACATTCTCTTTGAAATGTAGGAAGCACAATTTAATCCTATAAGATAAGTCTGATGGTTAAAGAAAGTTGTTTTGTATCCTTTTTTGATTTTCTAAGTTCAGATCTTGAAATCAACATTCAAAGAATTTATTTTGTTATATGAATCATATTGATTTAAGAAGATCTATTTTGTTTCTCTTTTTTACTTATGAGTTCAGATTTTAGAATTAGAATCCATAGAATTTATTTTCTTAGTTGCACTATGTTGATGTGAAGAGTATCCAATAAAACCGTTATAAAAAAAAAAAAAAAAAGTCTTATCTAGCACACAAACTAACATAAAATACTTTTTATTATCAACAAAACAAAAGAGAAAAAAAAAGTTGTAAATTATCCTAAAGGTTTAAAATTCAAATTCTCCTTACAATTTCAAATCCACATTACTATTTCCTAGTCTTGAAAAATGTTAATTTAACCACTAATAATCCATAAACATGGAAATTTTACAATGACATTACGTAATTTTACATTATTACGTGATTATGAGTAAAGATTGTAAGAAATGAAGTAAAAGGTTTATCATAACTAATTTTCTGTAAATTACTCATTGAATATTCTCAAACAATATCCGAATTCTAAAATCTACTAGCTAGCACTACCTTTTGTCATTGCCTCTTCCACGACAAATGCCCTCCATCTTTACAAGTAATCTAAACTAATCCACACCATGTATTTTTGAAGGCATTCTAACCGGTTATGTCCCATCCTCAGATCTAATCACCATGCCCCACTTTCAAACCTTCTCATTCCCTCTGGATACATCAGCAACGCTAGCAACACTCTTGCTTTGCATGAATAAATTATAAATTAGTCCTTTTAATTTTAAGAAATGAATTAATTAGGCCGTTTTATTTTAAAAAACTATCATTTAATTTGTTAATTTGTATTGACCATGCTTAATTTAATAGTATTTTTATTTCATAAGATATCTTCTTTTCTTATCAATCTTTATATTTTTTTCTATCTCTTAAAACAAAAAAAATCAAATAAATTAAAAAAGAGCAAATTACAAGTAAATTAAAAAACACGAGTACTGAATTATTAGTTTTTGAAAAGAAAAGAGTAATTAATTTATTTTTCAAAACAAAAGAGACTGATTTATAATTTACTTAATTCTAATTTAGTCAGAGAAATAAATTAATTAATCTCTATTTTTTAAAAAAATATTTATTCTTTATGTTTTAATTATGTCAATAACATAATTTTTTATTAGATTAATGATTTTTTTCCTCAAATTGTCATTTATTTGGTTTTTTTATTAAAGAGAGAAATAAAGTAGGTGAAGAAAAAATAAGATATAAAAAAACGATAATCTGAGAAAATAATTACTAATCTAATAGAAAGCTGAAGAAAAATTAAATTTTGATGAAATTAAAACGTTATAGATTAAATATTTAGTTTTTAAAACAAGTAAGACTAATTAACTCTTTTTTCAAAACGAGAGGGACTAATTTATAATTTACTTCCCATTGCATATGTATGAAGACACGCTGCTCTGCAGCTGTCCAAGAGACTGCTGCAAGCATTCCTCTTGCCTCTGTCCTCTATCTTGAAACCCTCAACATTGGCAAAGTCTGCATCGTCAACAGCCCCACCTCCCTTTTGCAATAATCAAAATGAATGGTTATTCCAAGATCAAAATCATGGGCACAGCCAAATCAAGATCCATGGACTTTTCAGATTTTTCGTTAGCATTTCCTGAGCCCACAGAATCTGACAAGAACACCTCCTTCAAACCCCAAGAAAGCGAAACCAGCAAGGTCATAAACCACCGCCATGCCAAGAACATAACCAGCACCGACCCCACCAGTAAAACCCAGTATTCACTTTCAGTGCGCGAAGAAGATCAAGAAAACAACGTTGAAGAGAGGTTTAGCATGAAGCTGGGGAGGAACTCATCGGTTTCTTCATCAGCTTCTGCTCTCCAGTCTGCAGTGAAGAAAGCATTCTCCATGACAAGATCCTCTTCTGTTTCAGAAAGGTATTGTAGGATCCATGACCAGTCTGTGACGTTAGCATCACCCATCCATGATGAAGATGGCACTTTGGACACTATGGAACCAACAAGATCTGTGAAGAAAACACATCGCAGAGGCAGGATCCTCAAAGCCTGTAAGAAACTTTTTGGACTTTAGTGCATTTCTGCCCTTTGTTTAATCCCAATGATTGGGCTCATCATTCACTTTGCTCCTTTTCTATTCTCGTATTGTCAAAGTTATGGAGTAATTGGTAAAAGTAAAATTTTGAATGCTGTAACAATTGGAGATGCTGAAGTACCATATCTTATCTATTCAATTAAGCTACTTTTCCTTGTCTTGTACATATTTTTGTCCTCTACAATCCATTTGAAGGAGCAACAATGGCTTCTTCTTCTTCTTCTTCTTTTATAAAAGAGAAGTTCCAATCCTTATTGTCAAAGCTGTGGAGTTATTGATGGAATTCATCATGTTTATATTTGAATTCAATGGTTTAAATTTAATAAATATGAAAATCATGTTTCATTAATGTTTTTTAATGGAACATGAGAGGAAGTCATTCCTAAATTATGTTCTCATAATTTTTGGAATTAACAATACTGCTTATCATTGGCATGTCATAAGAAATTTGTTTATCCGAAAAGTATCAACAAGGCCAGGAGGAGGAGGAGGAGGAGGAGATTGGGCGATGATTAAAAGAGTTGTTCTTTCTTCTTTAGTCAATTGGGTTTAGATTTTATCATCAAAGTAGCATCTCATCAATTTCCTAATCTTAGGATTGATTGTCCATTTTGACCAAATAAAAAAAATGGATTTAGTTTCCAAACACAAAAATTAATTTATTTTTTCAATAATCTTTGTGGATTCGTCTATTGGTTTTAGGAAATTTGTTTTCTTTTTGACTTGTTAGATTCAAACCATAAAATCAGCATTCAAAAAAATTTATTAAATTTATCCAAATGCATGTGTAAAAAAATTGTTTATAAAATTACTTGAAAAAAAATTAATTTTGATTGACGGACAAATTAATTTGGGAATGCTGTGTTACTTTTTAATTAATTTTTTTAAGAAAAAATTTAAAATTAAATAAATATTATGAAAAAATTGATGAGAAAAGAAGATATTTTTTGAAATAAATTAATATTAAATTAATCATGATCAATGCTAGTTAAGAGACCAATTAATTAATTTTAAAATAAACTTTTTTTAAAAATCATGTACTTAATTTAAATGTTTTTTCCCCTTAAGTTTTGGAGTGCTTGTGCAAGGGATGATGGGAAACATAATAAACATATTTTATTAACCATCGCGCCAATTCTTTGAACTTATTTTCCAAATACAATAGATTGGTTGTGAAAGATGCAAGGGATATGATTCTGCTTGAACTATTCTGTTGAAGCTTGTCGTCATTATATGGGAATTATTTACAAGCCATACTTACGGCCTAAATACCAATAATTGAGTCAATTTTCAATTAATCTTTTTATTTTGCAAAATAATTTAAATATTTTCTTTTGTTTCAAAGACTAATAAATTAATTTTTTGGCCAATGTTGACAATAGTTAATTTAATATTATTTTGTTTCAAACAATATCTTTTTTTCTCATTAATTAATTATTAATTAATTTTTTCCTTTTTTTCATTTATTAAAATCAACAAAAAAAAATAAATTGAAAAAAATAAAAAAGAATTAAGTACAAATAAATTTAAAAATATTGGCCCAATTAATTAGTTAGAAAAACTAGAGGGACTAATTTATAATTTACACTCAATGATTCAATCCACGAGGGAAAAGTCTTGGACATTTCCTAGTGACATTTGACATATATCATATCTTAACTGTGAATAGTCCAAAATCTATTGACAGTACATTGCATCCATACTTGTTTTTAAATTTATCAGAATGCATTAGACTCATGTAAAAAAATTATTTTTAAAATTGCTTGAAATTTTTTTAATTTCGATTGTCATGCAAATTGACTCGAGAATACTCTTAACTATTGACCAGAAAAAAAATCTTATATGGGAATTATTTACAAGCCATACTTACTGCAAAAATACTAATAATTGAGTCAATTTTCATTTAGTCTTTTAATTTTTTAAAATAAATTAAATATTTTCTCTTGTTTCAAAAACTAATAAATTAATTTCTTGACCAATGTTGACAATAGTTAAGTTAATATTATTTTGTTTCAAACAATATCTTTTTTTCTTATCAATTATTTATTTATTAATTTTTTTCCTTTTTTTTGTTTATTAAAACCAAAAAACAAAATAAATTGAAAAAAATAAAAAGAATTAAGTTATAAATAAATTTAAAAATATAAGGCCCAATTAATTAGTTAGAATAACTAGAGGGACTAATTTATAATTTACACTCAATGATTCAATCCACAAGGGAAAAGGCAAGGACATTTCCTAGTGGCATTTGACATGTATCCATATCTTAACAGTGAATAGTCCAAAATCTATTGGCAGTAGATTGCATCATCTGTGGTATATATATATATATTTTTTGGTTGCATTAATTCCCTTGCATAGGGTGCTTTTCTTAGCACTCAAATTTTTGGTAGAGAGCTAAACAAGCAAAAATCCAAGATGATTTTGTCTATTCCCAATTTTGCTTCCTCTGCTTTCTAATTACCAGTTTGTCTGCATGCAACATGTCTCAATTTTATTCTTTTGTTTGGTATGGAGATATCTTAGATTTTTTATGCTAAATAATCTTAGATGCCAATGTATTTGTGATGTTATGTCGAGAAATGTTAAATGGCAAGACATTTAAGATGTTTTAGGACATTACATTCTCGGATTTAACATTATATTTTCTACGAAGTTCGGAATGCGATGCCCTTTTAAAATGAAGGGAATCACATTTCTTGGTGCGAGAGAATGTAAAATTATTCTTATTTTTTAGATCTTAATGTCCTTATTTTTTGTTTTAAATTGACTAAGATACTCTTATTTTTATCAATAATAACCCAAACTACCATAACACTTTAACATGTTGTTTTAAATGTAATTAATACTCTTTCGTTTTAAAAAAGATTGCCATATTTGACTTTTCATAAAGATTAAGAAAGTTATTAATTATTATGTTATATTTAACATTTTTTGTTTATACCTTTCTAAAATGTCATATTGTATTTGGATAATCTTTTACACAGTGAACTTTAATTAGGAAAATTTTATAAAAATACATCAATTAAAGTTTTAACTAGAGAAGCACTTCAAGACGGATATGAATGGAAATTTAGATATTTTTTTCACCATGAAGATATAAATAGAAATCTAGACAATCTATTTGCGACACTTCGAAAAAGGTATAAATAGAAATCTAGACATATTTTTAGTGATAGAGGTATAAATAGAAATCCAGACAATCTATTTGTGGCGCACGAATAGATTGTTTAGATTTCTATTTAATTATATCTATCTCAAAATGCTTGTGTGGTTAAAACTTTAAATGATATACTTTTTCTAAAATATTTCAAATTAATATTAATAGCTAACAATTTTTTAAAAAAGGATATTTTAGAAAACGTATGAATAAAAACTACTAATATGATAAAATAATTAATAACTTTCTGAATATGTGTGAAAAATAAAAAAGGACAATCTTTTTGGGACATATCAAGTATATTTTTATTTGTATAATTATTCAAAAAAACAATATCGGGTTTAAAAACTAGTTGAAAATGTAATTAATATATTATATATGTGTTTATGTGCATAATTATTCAGAAAAAAAATTAATGTTGACAAATTAGTTTTAAATATAATTAATATATTTAATGAATTATAAATTAGTCCCTCTTGTTTCAAAAAATGAATTAATGAATTCCTTTGTTTCAGAATTTAATTATTTAATCCTTATATTTTTTTCTTGTAACTTAATCGTTTTCTTTTTTTTTAATTCATTTGGATTTAAAAAAATAGAAAAAATAAGTAAAAAATATGAAAGGATTGATGAAAAAAGATGACTTTTTTAAAAAATAAAGTAATATTAAATTAAGTGTAGTCAAGACTCGGTCAATGAACTAAATAATTATTTTTAAAACAAGACGAACTAATTAATTCATTTCTTAAATATAAAAGACCTAATTTATAATTTACTCTTAAGAAATTTTATATGTGCATATTTATTTAGGAAAAAAATCACGTTGACAAATTAGAAATTTTAAATCTCAAAAATAAAATAGAAATCTTATCAAAATTCCTTATGAATTTCCATAAATGAACCCAAATACAATAAAAAAACATTACAAAAATTTTCAATTTCAAAAATATTCCAAATTGTTACATCAGCAATTACATTTGAAGAGAGTATTTAAAAATTTAGAAACCAAACACCCCTCTTAAACTTGGGACAAAAATTGCTACCATAATTTCAATTCACAACCGACAAAACATGTAATATTCCACCCATGAATGTTATGGAATTAGATCCTTAGACAAACATAACGTTTTTGGCACTCATCCCAAATCTAAGATTTCATATTGTAATTGTCTTTCTAAAAACAAAAAAACTAGAATTACATTATTCATCTCGATCATGTATAAGACTATCAATGACTCGGATTCAAATCGGATCATAATAGACTTAGGATTTTTCTAATAAATAGATTGAATCGAATTTTATGAATTCAAATTCAGATTTTGTAATTGTCTATCTAGATTTGGATCCTAATGAGTTCGGATCGGATTTAGATATTCATCAAATTTAGCATTTATTTTTTCCAAAGAAAAAATATTGACTATATTCAAAATTTTACTTTGATGTAAATGAGTTTTAACCTTTGCTTGTATAAAAAAATATTTTATGATAATATTTCATATATCAATTAAAAAAATAAAAATATCTCGCAATTAAAGAGAACAAAATCAAATAACCTAATAAAAATTTATATCGAAGTTTAAAATTAATTTAAATTTGACTGGAAGTGGGATAAAATTCAAGAAAATTAATAAAAATGCATATTTAAGGTACAATTTGATTGGTATGAAAGAAAATCTTAATATTTTACAAATAACAAGCTCGAAAATGAGTAGATTGGATCAAGTCTATATAAATGAGATATTCAAGTGTAATACTACCGACAATTCATTAATAATTTTTTCTAACAAGTTTATAGACTTTTTAACAAAATTAACTTGAAAATTGAAAAAGGATAAAAAAAAAGATCATATAATTGTTTGAAAGAATGGTAATCAATATAGAGATAAAAAGGAATCGAAGTATAGTACATTATTTAGCATTTAGAGTATATAAATCTTATATCTAAACCTAATTCCATATTTTTCTTATTTTTCTTATTTTTATGTTTTTAAAATTTCATAGTATTAAAAATATATTAATATTAATTTTGGATTGAATTATTATCGGACTAGATCAAGGTAGATTGATATTTGATTTAATTAATATGCATATTGATGGATTCGAATCATAATTGGACTCAAATCATAAAAATTGCCTACTAAATCCATTTAATTATATCAAAATCTGATCAAATTTGGGTTAAAATCTAATCTATTGATTGCCCTAATTATGAATATTAAAAAATTTAATAACAACTTGGATACGGGTCGATGGGAACAATAAAAATAGGCACATGACAAAAAATTTTATTATACTCAAAGAGTAATTAATAATATTTATTCTATAAAAGAGAGATAGACACAAATAAATAAATAAATATGAGAGATGATTAAAAAAAATAAACTTATGTGGAAATATTTTTATCACTTTTGATGAGTCAATTTTTTTTCTCTTGTTTGAGTCCATCTCTTTTTTCAAAATAAATCCATACAATATATATTATTAGTTACTTCATGAGTATTTTAAAATGGGTGTACAAAAATTTACAAGATACTCAAATCTAAATAATCTACCTCTTATGACTTAATTAGGAAGTAAAAATCAAAATCATCAATGGGGTACCACAATCCGATGGTATGGCCACAAAGTTTTCTTAAACGGGAGCAATTTCCATTACCGAGTGAGGAAGGTAGGAAACTCGACGCCGTAATCGAAGACCGAGCATGCATGCATCATCTCTCTCAATAATCTTATCCCTCTAATTATGGGAATTTTTCTTTTTCCTATTTGGTAATCCTTATGGCTACTATATAAATAGATATCAACTTGGTCTCATCTTCCAAATCCCCACCACGACCTCCATCTCTCATATTTTTAGTTTGCATATTTCAAAGTATGTCCTCATTGGAAGTCGCCAATAAGGTTGTCATGAAGTGGTTAGAGCCTAATAACAATGGACAAGATCAAAGAAAGAAGAAGATTATCGATGACTTGTACAAACAAATCGATGACATGAAGAAACAATTCGAAAAACAAGTCAATGACATGAAGAAACAATTCGACCATGATAACCACCTTCTTTATCAAAGGTATACTAATGCGGCCAAAGAGCTTGTTATCTTCGGGCGAGCATACTATGATTTAATGGAGAAAGTTCAACAGCAGAGCAATCCAAGTCCGAGCTCTCGGTGCTCCCCTAATATTGAATCTCGTCGGAAGAACATTGATGTCCATGATGGCTCTATGCCACAAGTATCATTGCCATTGTCATCGTCATCTGCCGTCACCAATACCAAAACACCCTCGGGTTATTGTTATTGATGACGACGATGAAGATGATGCTCCTAAGGTTCTCGGATAAGTTGAGGAGCTTTTTTTTTTTCTTGGTTCATGGGTCAAGGTTTAGTTGTTACAATCTTCGTCTTGGTGGGAAATCCATTTAATTATAAGAAAGAGTGATCGTTTTAGTTTAAGTTTTTTTTTAATTTAATTTAAGTGATTGTTTTAGTTTAAGTTTTTTTTTAATTTAATTTAGTCTATTCTCTTAATTAGTATTTTATATCCATCAAATGCTTGTGATCAAAATTAAAATTTTCGAGAAAAAAGTTTTTATTTTAGTGTGTTAACCAAAATGAATGAGAAATAAAGGGGAGGAAAAACAACGCTACTTAATTTTGAGTGATTCAATTAATTAAATTAATTATTTCATGGATAAAGATGTTTCACTACATCAAACAAAGTGGATGTAAAGTGACATAAGAGAATTGTCTTAAGCGAAATTAGCTATAGTCGTTTAAGTAAATAGTTTCGATTTAGAATTTTTATATATATAAAAAATTCTTTAGATAGTTTTGTCCATTTTATGCCCTCAATCAAATAGCGAGAGATTAATCTAAAGTGACTTGAGAGAATCATTTTAAGCGAAATGAGCTCTAGTCACTTAAGTAAATAGTTTCAATTTTGAGTTTTTATGCATACGGAAAATTTTTTAAATAGTTGTGTTTATTTTATGCGCTCGATCGAATACCAAAAATTAATCTGGACCTTTGGACTTGAGATGCCCTAAAAAAAAATGGATGCAAAGTACATAAAAGGGTCAAAATTCAAATCCTGCATGCATAAAAAAATGTGGATAAGTCTCTTACAAACCTTAACACAAAATAAAGAGCAAAATACATAAATCTCGATGGGCTATAACTCAAACACAAAAGGATCTCTCGTTCTTTCTCAAAGCTTACGATGTTAAGAGGTAACTTTTCTCTTAAAGTTTCTCTCTTATACCGACATTGGAACTCTTTGCCCAAATCATACTAACAAATCAAAACCCTCTAGAAACCTCTAGCCAATACAAACAATCAATTCGGCACAAATTCAACACTAAGTCGAAACTTCAGCCCTTAATGAATCAACAATCCAAATGCAATTCAACACTAAATCAATCAAAAAAAATTTGACAACAATCTCAAATTTCAACAATTCTTAAATTAGCACACACAAGCCAAAAATCACAACAATACGCAAAAACCGAAGCCCTATGAATTAGGATTGAGCCGAAATTCGATCTAGAATTATCAAAACTTCACCAAATTTCAACAAACTATATTTAGTCATAACAAATGTGATTGGTAAAGTTATAAATAATTCTAAAAATTATAACCTTGCATTTCAATGTCGCCACACTTCTATAAAAGCCTAAATAAAAAGAGCAAAATTCCAGCCTTATGCAAAACTAGAATTAAGCTGGAACTAGCAAAATTCAAATCAACACAATTCTTATTTCAATTAAAAACAAACAAATCACACAACCTACTTGTAAAAATTCATTAAGATTTGTAGGATACGTTAGGACTCAAGAATACAAATATCACCACTTTGAATGCAATAATCAAATTGCCGAGTTTAGGTGATTAATGCCAAAGATAAAAATAAGATGTTCTTTATTATGGAAAAACACAAATGAGAGAATTAATTCTCTCGGCTTAATTTTTATCAAAATAACAAAATTGTCCAATTAAACACAACCTATAGTCCAACAAGATACATTAATATCCAAAACATAAATAAACTATGATAGATAGGCTAAACATTTGGCTCACGAGCCGTAACTCTAACTCTCGGTCAAGTTAGGCCCCTCATGTGCCATGCTCTCTAGGTTGAAGACATCCTAAAGGTTAAAAATAGAAGGACTAATTTCATACATGTTATCACATGACTGGTTAGATATTAAACAATTGATAGAGTTTGGTCAATTTAATGAAAATAGTTAATTAAAAAACTTATTTGTTCCAATTTTCACTAGTATAAAATTTGTAATGCATTGTACATACATAGAAAGATTAATATGAATATTATTGAATACTCCAAAAGCATTTTGTGTATGTACTCCTTTTATTTCTTTGTTATGTATATGGTTTAAAACATATGTAAAAGCTTGTTATAGGAATGAGATAAAATATAATTTTATTGATGAGAAATGTTATAACCCATTTTTTATCCCATAAATTTTTATTTTTATATAAAATTCAAAAATTTTAAAAAAAATTGCATGTCACATAGTTTCTTGATCAGCCATGATTTTTTGATTTTTTTCAATAAATTTTTAGGATTTTAATTTTTTAGGATTATCTCCTAATTTTAAATAAACAAAAGAAAATAAAGAAAGAGAAGAAAAGAATAATTTTAAAAGATGATTTGGGGATCAATGGAAAAAAAAATGCGAGAGATAAGAACCAAATAACATCCAATTAGGGGTATAATTGAAAGAAAATAAAAATTATGAGCCTTAATTGAGAATGGAAAAAATAAAAATAAAAGAAAAGGGATTAAACAATTTTAAGGCCTTTTTATGTCGGATATTGATGGGTAGTCTCCTTTCTTCTATATTTTTAGAGAAAGAGAGTTAATATTAGGAGTGTGATTGATGACAAAATAATAAGACAAGGACCAAAATTGAAAAAAATATGAAAGAATGGAGGACCAAGTCGAATTTGACCCCTTACCCCAAAAAACCTACTATAAAAACTCCGTTTTCTCTCATTTTCAAAGATCAGCCACTATTCACTCTAAAAAAAAATAACCTAGAGGGATCAGTGACCATTATCTTTTATAAAGAAATAAATCTATAGAGAAGAAAAACTCTCTCCACTCATCTCTCTCACAAAACCACACCTAAAAAACTTTCCACTCATAATCTATGGCCACCACAATCTAAGCTAAACAAAACACCAAATTCATCCTTTAACTCCTAAGCTAAAATTTTGTGTGAGTTGTTTCAAAATTTAATTGGTCTAGTTTTCGATCTTATTTTAATCTGAAATTTTTAGTATTTGTTCATGTATTTTTCCTTAGCCTATTTTTTAATTTTAGTAATTTTTAGAGTGCATTTACTTGTTATTTTACAATATATTTATTTATTCTACTAATATTTTAATGATTACTATGGGGTTGTTTCAAAATTTAATTATTAAGTTCAATTTTTAATTTTATTTTAATCTAAAATTTTTACTGTTTGTTCATATGTTTATCTTTAGCATGTGTTTTAAATTTTGTAATTTTAAGAGTCTATTACTATTATTTCAAAATTTATTTATTATTCTATGATTATTTTAATTATTATTGTGACTGTGTTTAAAAGTTTAATATTAAGTCTAGTGTTTAATTTTATGAGTTTCTTTACTATTTATTATTTTTATGCCGTTTATCTTAATTATTCACTTAATTATTAATGTGTTTTATTTTGGTAATTGATTTTTACTTCTAGTACCTTTTATTATTTTAATATGAAACTCTTAAGGTTTGTACATATATTTGTTCATATCTTGTGTGTTAAGTTTGATAATTTTATGAGTTTCAATGCAATGCTTAGACTCTTCCCGAAGTTTCAATGCAATGCTTGATAAACTTCAATTTTATTACGAAAATAACATATATTAATATTATATTATATGGGTATTAATAAATTTGTCTTAGCACAGCCTTTTTGTTCCCTAACTATTTTTAACTAAAAAATCTCAAAATCATCTTTACAATATTCATAGACATATTTTTCAAGTTTAAAATTTATCTTGAATCATGTTTAGATAAGCAAAAAATTAAACAAATTTTAGTGTTGAAAAAAGAAGAAGAAAGAAATTAAATGTCAAATGAGAGAGGATATACCAAATGGATAGCCCATTCAAGCCTTCTGACGGGCTGTCACAGTTATGTTGGGATTAATTATTTTAACTTCTTAAATAGGATCCCAGGACATGATCACCTTTTTTCCCCTCCCTTTTACTACGCTAATTTAATTGCTAATTTAAAGATACCACAAAGATTTGTGTCATGAACTCAAAATATATACTTTGACGTGAAACTTAGAGTTAGAAATTTCATGCATGGACAGATATTCAAGTCTTTGCTGTCATAAACAAATTTCAAATTTGATCCAGAAAATAACAACAGTAGAATTTAAAGATAACAGAAATGAACCAAATTTAGGTTTCTATAGCCAGCCATATTAAATTATAGGCCGATAATATGACACTCATGCTTTTATACAGCAAAACTAACACAGAATATCGCTCCCAATTTAGCAAGAAATAGTTTATTAGTTCTACCATTTTGATTCACACTGTCAACTACCAATGGATAACAGGTTCTCAGGCTGTAAAAATTAATACAGTTTGATGAAGTCGCAGAAACAAAAAATAGTTTCAATTAGTTAGCTAGCTAGCTGGTTAGGGTTTGTTTGACGCGCAGCTTGTGTTTTCTTAGGTGTTTTCTCTTAGGGTTTTAATTAATAGCCTTATTCTGCTAGGTTGTAGCTGTTTTTTTCATGTTCTAGTTAGGTTGTTTCTTATTTCTAATTTTAACCTTTTAGTCTCCATTATATATATGTTCCTCCATCGATCTACGAGAAAAATAAGAAAAAAACATCAAGAACTATCAATTTCTTGAAGATGGCAAACAAAAATTTAGTTTCTTTTCAAGTTCTTCTTATATGTTCTAGTTTTCTTCTCATGATTTTTCCTCAGTATTCATGCAATGCACAAAATGTACGTGAACTTAAGCATTGTGGTTTCGATGCAATATATAATCTTGGGTCTTCAGTATCAGATACAGGCAATTTAATGGGTTCTCCTGCTTATCAAACCAAATTTCCTTATGGAAAAACTATTAATAAAGCGACTGGTAGATCCTCAGATGGATGGTTAATAATTGATTACATTGGTAAGCAAAAAATCTGCATGCTTCTTTCTTTCTTTCTCTCTTTTTTCCATCAAAATCATTATTCGTAAGAGTAAGGTGGCTTAATATGGTGATTTTTCTTGGAAACTTTGCAGCAAAATCAGCTGATCTCCCCTTAGTCGATCCCTTCAAGAATTTGGGTGAAACACATCGCGGAGTAAATTTTGCAGTCGCTGGAGCTACCACCTTATCAAATGAAGCTCTTGCAGAAAAGAATATCTTCGCGAAATTTGCCCCTGTTTATCTTGGTGCACAACTTGCATGGTTGGATAAATATTTGGAAGGATACTGCCATAATCCCGAAGGTTATTACTATAACTAAGATCCTTCATTTCTTGATAATCTGGTTTCCATATAGCTAAATAAAACGTATATTGACACTTTTTTTACGTTTGATAGCTTGTCAAAATGCACTCAAATCCTCACTTTTCACGATCAATTTCGGATACAATGACTACTATGCTGCATTGAGCTCAAACCAAACCATTACAGAGATGAAGAAGAATGGCTTGGTGACTGAAGTTGTGAAATCTATTAAAGATGCTGTTTCGGTAAGTTAATTTTATTATATGTTATTAGGCTAAACGGATCAAATTTTCTCTGAACTTTAACTAATAACTCATTTGAAATTGAGTTTTTGAATTTTAAATTTTGTTTTTGGAATCTCAAAACTTTAATTTTTTGAAATTTATTTTAATTATGTTATTTTATTTTGTGGTAAATAAATTATGTTGTTTTAAATGTCTACAGAAAGTCATCGACCAAGGTGCTAAGAATGTCCTTGTCTTCGGAGTAGCTAAAGATGGATGTAGACCAATCACTGTAAATGCACAATCTGCAAATAAATCTGCCACTTACGATGGATTTGGCTGTGCAAAAGACATTAATGACTTTTGCTTGTATCACAATCAACTTCTTCAAGAAGCCCTTGAGGAATTAAGGAAGGAACATCCTAATGCACAAATAGTAGATGGTGATTTCTACAATGCCATGCAATCCCTTTTGGATAACTTTGAATCTCTGGGTGAGTGTCTTCTTAATTAATTGATTTTTAAACAAGATATTAATTATGGATAATAGAGTTCTCATAATAAGTTTTACTTGTTCACCATGTTTAGGGTTCAAATCATTATTAACACCTTGTTGTGACGTCAAGAATAAAGATCAAGTTACTGAATTTAAGGATAAACTCTGTGGGGCTATTAATACCATAGTTTGTTCAAAGATTGAAGAGTATGTCTACTGGGATTTTGCGCACTGGACTCAAAAAGCAAATCAGTACTTGGCCAACTGGATCATTCAAGACATCTTCCCCAAGTTTCGATGCAAAGCTTGACATTTGAAGTACCATTCAAGATAAATTACAAATACATCTTCCCCAATTAGTTGCTATTTGTATCTTGTTTGTATCTCTTATGAATTGTTTATTTTTAAGGATGACTAAAAATTAAATATGTTTTCATACCGATTTAACTTAAGAAATAGTAAATTTGATTTTGATTGATTTGTAACTGTCTATAATTTTTTTTGAAGTAAAGATTGTTTATTCTCGTCATTTTTATATCTTATGTTTCTAATCATATATTATTTTAAATGAACTACTATTTAAGATCATGAATACTGTATATATGATGTTTTGTTAGATTTTTCTCGCATTTAAATCGTGTATTTTTTATTTTTTTTAATTAAAATCTTCTATTTTCTTTTGCTTTAATTGAGACCCTCTTCTCTTTGAGATTTCTTATTTCAAACTCTCTCTTATAATGTCATCAATCAATGATTAACACGTACTATTATAAAGTAAAAAATCTATGTTATAAATGAAGGTACGAAACAAAAAATCTTAAAAAATATATAAAATTTCAATCAAATCAAAAACAAAAATAAAAATAGAAGACCTCCATCAAATTTAACTATAAAAGTTCTACTCTAAATCGAATTACGAAAATCTTATAATATGTTAGAGAGGAACAAATTTAAGAGGAAATATAGAGGGAGGGATGAAAATATTTTTTTTAGTTGCTCCTTGGTTTGAGAGAAAAATGCAAACTAACAATTTGGTAAGAAAATTAATGAGGAGAAAATTTTATTCAAACAATTAAATTTTCAATTTTATCCTTGATTTTAAATTTAAAATCTTACCTAATGAAAGAAGTAAAGCACATAAATGACTTTTTTTACTATTACTTTTTTTTCCCCACAATTCCAAACAAATAAAAGTTTCTTCCATTTTCCTCTTTTCAAAATATAATGACTTCTGGTGTATTTAAAAAGTCTGATTTCTATAATCGATTCAAGAACTGATAGGATTAGGCTCAACTGATCAACATAGAAATAGTTAATATATACAAACGCAAGTACTTGGTACAAGGCCCGTTTGGATTGAGCCATATGGATAAAATTATTTGTTAATTTGAAATTGATATGATTTTTTTCTTTTTTCTTTTTTAATATTATAATTTTATTTTTTTAATAAACAATGATTTTATTTTTCAACATAATGGATGAATTATTATTTTATAATTTACGTAGGCTTTTATGGTTTTATGCATAACTTGGAAGTTTAGACTCTATTTTATGGTATTACAATTTATAGATGGAGATATAATTTTTTTTTTTTTGGTTTAGATTTTATTTTTATATAAAAAAATTGATTAAAAAAAGGAATCCAAATACCCAATCCAACTATATCAAAATTAAAGAGGAATGATTTGAATATTTCAAATCAAATAAAGGTCGAGTTTCATTATTATCCCTACACATATATGTCTAATTATTACTCTTATATGGCAAACTAACAATTTGACAATTTATTTTTTACACTATATGAAAAGTCAGATCATTAATAAATTATTTAATAAAAATTTTAAATGCTGTTAATTATGAAACCAAGATCCCCACAGCCATAAATATAAGTAGATTTTTTATTGAAAGAATTTAAATTTTTTTGAAGAAGGAAATAATCATTTATGTCAATTGTGACACAAAAAAAAAAAAAAAAAAAGGATATGGTCATGGAAAAATCCCTATCTTCATGCATCGGTGGCTGGGCCAGCTGAGCGAAACAGCTAGTGGGTCCCAATAGTTGGTCCCCATTTTTTCCAGCTATACACATTTTTCCAGACTTTTTTCCACATCATCAGGAAATCTGGGGGACCCACTCACATGAGGCTCATTTCAGGCAGGGCAGGTTTGTGGACCCCATCTGAAACGGTTGAGTCTGTATCTGCTCGACACGTGCCCTGCAGTTTGGGGTTTCACAAATTCCGACAAAGTAAATGATGGGAGGACGAGCCCATCCTCAGCAATTGACGTAACAGCTCTTGTTAATTTATGTTTGGTGGATCATAGGAAGTTACGTTATTACCCTTCTAAACCAATTCTCTTGTATTCTCGCCGTAGTGTTTTTTTTTCGTTGTCGATGTCATAAGAAAAAATATTCTAATTTAATATCTCTCATGATAGAAGATTAATTTTATGGTCGCACCAAAAATGGTGGACTAGTTTTGATTATATCTTGCATAAAATATAAATAATTTAATTGATAGTATATGCTACAAATTAAACTTGTAATTTTTTTGGATTTTATTAAAATTCTTCTTCATTTGATACATATTTCCTGACAAAAAAAAATTAAAAACAAAATCGTAAGAGTAAGTGGGCTAAATGATGATTCAACTAATTCACTTTAATAATTAATATTTAATTTTTTAAGCAGAAATATTAAACTCTAAATAATAATAAAAAGATAATTTTTATAAAAAAACTTCAATGTAATAATACCCATGAGAATAAAAATTAAAATAATTTTTTTTGAATTTTTTATTGATTAAGATTTTTGCGTAGGTATACGTTATGGAATAAAATTAATTTTTTTAATTATTTTCTCTAAAACTTCAATAGAAAATAATGCAATATCTTGTCGTAGCTAAGCTATTGAATTATCATAGCATTGATGATTTCGAAAAAAAATCATTTTATGATTGTGCTTAAATAGAAATTCTATGCATAATCTTAAATCTCATACATTATCATTCAAAGGTAAAATCTCTCTCTCTCTCTCACTCTAAACAATTGCTTATCAACGTATTTTGTCCCAAAAAAATAAAATAAATAAAAATCCCACAACAAAGAAAAAGATAGAAAATAGTGGTATTGGAGGGCATATTGGTAATCTGGAAAAGAATATCCAAAAAGCCCTAGAAAAACTGCAAATAAAAAGGGGAAAATATTCTCCTCATCCTTTGAAATAAAAGAAAAGAAAAGAAAAATAAGAGAAAGAAGCAGAAAATCAGAAAAAAAAAAAAAAAAGGCGAGCTATGGTTAGTGAAGAAACAGAAATCACAAACAGAACTGTCGCTTTCTCCCTCTCTTTTTTTCTTTTCTTCTATTTTTGCATTTTATCTATTTTAAACAATCCCTCCTTTTTTTCTTTCTTTTTTTATCTCATCGTCACTTCTTCGGATTATCATCCCTATAATTGCGTATTTTTGTTTTCAGAAATTATTGAATTTAGTCGATTTTTGGATTTTTCAGAATTAATTCTCATTTTTCTATCAAATAAGCAAAACAGAAGAAAAAAAGAGAATCTTAAGAGATTTGTTTATGATTTTTTAATTTGTAGATGGTGTAGATTCAAAGGAATTGAGTTAAATCGAATCGAAACGATATGGCTAATGAGTTGAAATAGCGAGCTGCGAACTCGGTGGAAATAATAGAAGATATGGCCGACGAAGCTGCTGCTGGATCATCGTCGCCGAAGAACAGAATGAAGTTCTTGTGTAGCTATGGCGGGAAAATCATGCCGAGAGCCGTTGATGGCCACCTCAAGTACATCGGCGGTGAGACACGCGTCATTGCCATTCCTCGTGACATCAACCTCTCAGGTATTCTTCCTCTTTTTTTTTTTTATGCCCGTGTTCATATTTTAAAACGGACGGCATTTTTTTCCCCTTATAGGAGATGATAAAGGTATTGGTGTGCTTATCAAAAGAGAAGTATAAATAATTAATGTAAAGCTTTAATTCTTCCATCAAAGAATACAGGATTTGTGTTTCTGTGGTCCTATTAATGTCGAGGACTAGTAAACTTGGTAGCCAACAGACATGCGAGCCCCTTTTCTAATCTTACCACCACAGGACGGTGGTACTCGTGGGCAGCGCTTGAATTTCAGGAACGGAAAAGTTCCATCCACAACCCTACACACTGGCATAGGACACCGGCACGACGGACAAAAGCGACTGTTGTTTAGCCACTTAAGAATACAATCTCCATGGTAGACATGGAAGCATGGCATTCTTGTAACATCCTCGCCAACAATGAATTCCTTAAAACAAATCGCGCATTGCTCCTGGTCGAAACACCAATCCTTGTCGAAAGACAACTTTTCCAGTTCTCTAATAGAATTCTCTGTGGCATGCCAATTGAAAGAAAATGTTTCCCCTTGAGGCAGCAGTCTTTCCCATGCAAGTGCAGCCTCTAGATTGAATTCTTGTACCCAAATAACCCTAAGTGACATTACAATATGTATCACTTCACTGCTAGCATTGCGTGGATCATTCTTTATTGACTTTGCTTTGGAGGAAACAGCTTTCACTATTGAATCTAAATCTAGTTCAGGTAGGGACTTGTTGAGGAGGATCTTATGCATGGTGTCATGAGCTTTGGTTTCTTCTAGTAGAAGACTAGGGTCGAGAGGAAAAGAAGGTGATTTGATGGATTTTAGGTGCATAGAGTTATGATAGGGAAGATATTCAACTTCATAGTTGAGACTAACCTTCATTGAGAAGATGCAGCCTTGCCTTTCTTTTTGATCTTCTGCCTTTTGGGTCTGACCGTCTTGAAACCTTTGCTTTTGTTGTGCCATGTAAAACAAACACTTGATTTGGGGTTCGTTTGTCATTGTCCTCTCTGTTGATCGTCAGTAAAGATGGTATTATATATAGGGGTCTTAAATCTAACCAATGAACTCTATCCTTTTTTCGTTAGGATTACAAGACAATCCTTATTTAATTAGGATTACAATACCCAATGAGCTCTATCCTTTTTTGATTAGGATTACAAGACAGGACTTTGTGCTCCTCAATTAATATTTTATAAACCTTTATAAAAGTTTTTTGAACAGTAATTTATTAAAAAGTTAAAAAAAAAAAAGAACCTTAATTAATATAATATAGGAGTCTTGTTATCTTATTTATTTATTCATTTAAGTATGATTTTTTCGGTTTTACTGTTTCTGTTCATTTCTTTCAATGTTTGCTCTTATGATGTTTGCTTTGGTTACTTATTTTCCATATTCTTCTGCTTATCTTATAGACCATATGGAACTCTTTTAAAGTGTCCTGTTTGTAATGGGCAGAGCTTAAGAAGAAGCTTAGCGCAGAGTTTGAAGGAGACATGATCTTGAAGTACCAGGTTATACCTGAAGAACTTGACATTTTGGTGTCTGTAAAAACCGATGAGGATCTGAAGCATATGCTTGATGAATATGATCGTCATGAGATTGAAGGAACTCCAAAGCTCCGGGCCTTCTTGTTCCCTGCAAATCCTGCTGCAACAGAAAAATGTACTCCTATTGATCCCCATCCACCAGAACAACGTTATGTGGATGCCATCAATGGTATGGTTCGTACAACTGCCAATTTTAGACTCCCTCCTATCAATGCAAATCGTTCCTCCTTCAGCCATTCTACTAGCTCCTCTCCGAAAAGTGCTTCTCCAGAAAGCAATGCTGTTGATTCTGTGCCCCATGATCCCAGCTTCGTGAATAACTATCTTGTTAGTAGAAACCCACTGAGTAGAGTCCATAGCTCTCCGAGTCTCTGCAATCTGAACGCCACCCACCCCCAAAGCAATAACCATCTCTATCAGCATCATCACCATTACTATCCACACCACCAGCAACATCATCAACATGGTCACCAACCTTCTAGACCACCTTATGATCCTTACCGGCTGTCACTACCTTTGTCAGTTGGACGGCCTGACTTCGGGAGGGCTCCTACCCCCAACCAATACTACGCTAGTAGACACCATTTTGGGAGTGGAAACTCCACCAAATATGCGTACTATGATGAATACTCTTCCTATGGGTTTAGGGCAGCTGATAGAGCAGGTAGTCTTCCCCAGAGCCCCAGGACTAGAATTGTGGAGTAGAGCATCCGACGGAAAAAGGCCAGGTTTGTTAAACGACTTAACGTGTTGAGCTCAAAGATGATGCAGAAGACATTTTTCTTTTTCCATTTTATACATTTTTTCTTTTTGCTCTCAAATATTCTATGTAAATTCGCTTTATAGATTGAAATTACAAGGTACGTGGCTTTAATACATGTACAAAGCATGGCGATTTTGAAAATTTTGGTGGTTATTAACTTATTATTATCATAATTAGTTAATAAACTTTACATAGAAGAAACAAAAATCAACAAAGGTTCAGAGGATTAATAAGGGTTTCGAACATGTTTTCAAGCAATCAGATTGTCAAACAAGAATTCCTCTATGGAGTGTGTATTTCCATGAAGTAGCAAAAATCAAGTTACAGTTCGAAACCCATATAACAAGAGACTTGAACAACAGCATGCACATAGAAACTTATAAAGCAACCAACAATGTGTTAACGCTAAACCTAAGCAAGCATTAAACAAACTGCAGGGCTTATAAACCCCATTTTTTTAGCGATTAAAAGGTTGCTGTTGGTGTTTAATCCTCTATACTCCTAGAAACAATCTGTTCTCACTTCAAAGAGCAAAAATGTCTGGAAACTTGACCACCTTAATACCAGACCCAATCCCTCACGAAATCAATTTCTTATACACATTTCCATGACAGAGAAGGGAAAAACCAGCCAGCAGTTTTGTCGCCTCATTTGCTGTCTGTGAAATCTGCATCGATTACATCTCCTCCATCGGGTCCCTTGGTGGATGCATCTGAGGGTCCAGCTTCACTGCCGCCAGGGGCAGGGCCAGCACCAGGTGCTGCACCTGGTTGATTGTACAGGGACTGGCCAAGTTGCATGACTTCTTGATTGAGGGCAGCAATGGCATCTTTCATACCTTGAGTTGATCCACCGGCAATTGCATCCTTGAGCTCTTGGAGTTTTGCCTCAACCTTCTCCTTGACAGGGGCTGGAACCTTCTCCCCTAACTCCTTAAGCTGCTTCTCAGTCTGGTAGACGACAGAATCTGCCTGGTTCTTTGTGTCAATAGCATCTCTCTTCTCCTTGTCCTCCTTCGCAAACTTCTCAGCTTCGCTGACCATCCTCTCAACCTGCATAAAATTCACAAGTCAATAAACATTGTCCTACCATGCGAGCAATTGATTAATTGATCAGGCTCTAAATACTACAAAAGTATTGGCTAAAAAGCCAGCTAATTAGTTCCTAGTTAGTGAAACCATCCTCTATAAACAGGAGTATCATAGCATTCAGATCGTGCAAGGCCATTAAACGTGAAATTCCTATTTTAAAGAGCAGGAGTAGGTAGAATGCTCAAAGTTTGGAGTTTTGACCAAAGTAGCAGGTATCACAGCTCAAAACATGAAATTCCTATTTTAACCAGAAGTTTAAATGCATCTTGTTAATGCAGTATCCAATGTAATCCGAATTGAATTGTTTAGGAACAAATGTACCTCATCATTGGGTAAGGTGCTAGCACCAGTAATGGTGATGTCTTGCTTCTTTCCTGTGCCTTTGTCAACGGCAGCAACAGAGAGAATACCATTGGCATCAATGTCAAATTTCACCTCAATTTGAGGAACCCCTCGTGGAGCTGGAGGGATACCATCCAGGCGGAAGCTGCCAAGAGATTTGTTGTCCCTCACAAACTCTCTTTCACCCTGGAGAACATTAATCTCTACACTTGTCTGTCCATCAGCAGCAGTTGAGAACACCTCTGATTTGGAGGTTGGAAGTGTAGTGTTTCTGGGGATAATTTTTGTCATAACCCCTCCTAGGGTCTCCAGACCAAGAGATAATGGAGTCACATCCAGCAGCACAATGTCACTGACATCTCCAGCCAAAACACCAGCCTAGAGTCAAACAAGAACAACGATTAGCTCACAAGAAATTATACCGTAACTACAGCAACATTGCCATATGGGAATATATACTGTCTTATTAACTAAGTTATTGACAGTAATCTTAAATTAATAGCATGTCTTTGTTAAGATTAGGGAAGTAGCCTCACCTGCACTGCAGCACCTAGGGCAACAACTTCATCTGGATTAACTGTGACATTAGGATCCTTCCCAGTCAGCTTCCTCACAAGCTCCTGTACAGCTGGAATACGTGTTGATCCACCAACAAGAATCACTTCATCTAAATCCTTATAGGACACTTTGGCGTCCCTCAAGGAATTCTCAACTGGGGTTTTAAGCCTGATGAAAAGTACCAAATCAGTTGCTTAGGATGCTACATTGGTTATGCAATAAGCTCACATGACCAAAGTTTGAAAGCAAAGATGAAAATGCAGATGATGGTCAGATGCACATAAAGTAACAAGCTGTTTTCAACAACTGAATAAAATACCTGTCAAGCAGATCAGAACATAATTCCTCAAACTTGACCCTTGTTAGAGTGGTCTCAATGTGCTTGGGGCCATCAGCAGTAGCAGTGATGAACGGCAAACTGCAGAAGCAGAGAAACTTTTATCAGTTGAAATTGCAAGAATTTAAGAGAAAGAAAGAGAGGTCAAAAAGCAAAATAGAAGCACCTGATATTTGTCTGAGTCAAAGAAGACAGCTCCATCTTAGCTTTCTCAGCTGTCTCGGTTAGCCGCTGAAGTGCTTGTTTATCCTTCAAAAGATCAATACCCTCGTCTCTCCTAAAGTTACCAGCAAGCCAATCAACAACTCTCTGCATGAGGAAGATCACATTGAATTCTCTTAGAACTAAATCAATAAAAGTGCAATGAACTTGCAATAAAGACGAGCAGGTCCAACCTTGTCGAAATCATCACCACCCAGATGTGTATCTCCAGAAGTAGAAAGCACTTCGAAGACTCCATCACCAACCTCAAGCACTGCATAAACAAAATAGTTTGTCAATGTGTTCCTACTTTCCTTTCCTTTTTTTTTTTTTTTTCCTGAGATAGCTAAAAAGACATGCTTTCATAGCATTCTATATAGCAATTTCAATATGAACAGAATCACTTATGTTTTAGCAAAAAAGTGCAAAGTAAAAATAATGACAGTTAACGACCAGCAGGCACAATAAGATACCTGAAACATCAAAAGTACCACCACCAAGGTCAAATACTAGGATGGTCTCATTGTTCTTCTTTTCAAATCCATATGCTAACGATGCAGCAGTAGGTTCATTGATGATTCGAAGAACTTCCAACCCAGCAATGCGACCAGCATCCTTTGTTGCTGTTCTTTGGGAATCATTGAAGTAAGCAGGCACAGTAACAACTGCCTTGGTCACTTTGTCATTCAAGAACTTTGAAGCATCATCCACAAGTTTTCTCAAAACCTAAATTTACAGAAGTAAAAAGACCGACATAAGAAAATTGAAATAACCAACAAGGGCAATGCGGAAAGACAATACTTGAAGTATGAGCTCATTATCCAAAAACTATAGCATTAAACATCAAGATAGAACTTTTATTTTTCCATACTTCCCCAAAAACAATAAGCACCAACATTTTAACTCAACTAAACCATAACACAAACATCGCATACAGAATGATTACAAGGTAAACAACCAACATGTACTAAGATGGCTTCCCCCCACACAAAAACTTCCTATCATCCAAAACCCCAAATCAACTAACAAATGAAAAGTAATTCCAGTCACAAATACACCAAAATCCAGTCAAACTAAACTCATCAAACAAACTTTCCTAATCACCAAAAAATTCAACAGAACTCACCACTCAGGTAATTAGGAAAAACAACAAACCCATAGTTCCAAATTCCAATAACAACTAGACAGCAACCAAATCACTGAAAAAAAGTCTCAATATACCTGAGCTGAAATCTCTTCAGCAGCAAACTGTTTCCCAATAGCAGGACACTCCAATTTCACATTTCCATTCTCATCCCTCACAACCCTATAAGAAACCTGTTTAGATTCCTCATCTACTTCACTCATCTTCCTCCCAATAAACCTCTTGACCGAAAAGAAGGTATTTTCCGGGTTCACCACCGCCTGCCTTTTCGCAATCTGCCCCACAAGCCTATCCCCATTTTTGGTATACGCCACAACAGATGGCGTAGTCCTCTGCCCCTCGGCGTTCGTAACTATCGTGGGTTTCCCACCTTCCATTGCCGCCACCGCCGAATTGGTGGTCCCCAGATCAATCCCAACAACTTTCTCATTCACTACCCTAACTGGTCCGGTACTATACCTTCTTCTTGAAGCATTGTTTGTATGTTTTAAGAACGAAGCTTTGGTTTTTCCTAGGTTTTGACCAAAGAAAACTGATCTTGGCGCAAAAGAAAATTTGTGTTTTCTTGAAGATGTACTGCCAATCCCACCAACACCCCCAAGAACATTAATCTGGGCTGTTGAGGAAGCCATTATTTTCTGTTTATTTTTCCGAAATGAACCCAAAAAATGAATAGAACAATAGAGCTGGAGAGAGACAAAACCCTAAGGAACTGTGGCTTTGTGTGGTGAGATGCTTTTTTTTGTTCTGCAGAAGATAAGAGAAGGGAAGGGTTTTGGGCTTATAGAGAAAGAGGGATGAGGGTTAGGTGCTGACACGTGGCACGTTCTAGAATGATCTAATTCTTGCTGCCCGTTTGTGGATTGAAGGGCAAGGATATGGTCGTTGGATTGGGGTTTAGCAATGAGGTTCGGCTGCCCTGCTCCTGCCCGGATGGAATCATCGAGGAAGTTCATACTTCATGGTTCTTTTTCGTGATAGAAAGCCCAGTAGCTGATGATATTTTTGTCATTTTAATCATAGGTCGAAAATAAATGCTTTTTGTTTTTTTATTTTTTCAAATTCACGAACTAGTTGGGTTTTTTTTTTTAATTTACAAGTAATAAGAAATTTTTAAACCAATTTATCACTATTTATACCAAAACAATTTCAAATCTCGAATCGCATCTAATCTTTGATTGGTTTGGACCAATCTATCGCTATTTATATTAAATCAGAGTCAAATCTCATTTAATCTTTGATTGATTTTAATTACTGGACTCTTTTGAGCTCACTAGCAGCTATATCTAATATCACCAAAAAAAAAAAAAAAAGAGTAAAAAGTATTCAAAAAATAATAATCAAATCAAGGGATGATAATTAGCTATATAAACAGATATTCATTTAATTTAATTTAATTTAATAAATATCTATTAAAAATGCTTTATAGGTACTTAAGCAAATAAGAATGAAAAAAATACATATTTTTTAAAATATAGTTTCAGGATAAGACTACTCATGTTATATCTTCTAAATACTCACGGGTATATTTTGGAAAAAAAATAAAACATATAAAGACTTGGTTGCATAAAATTTATAAAATAGGAACCAAATTAATTTTATTGAAAGCTTTGAGGACACAAAACATGTAAATATAGGACTAAGTTATAAAAATATAAATTTAAAGACCAAAATAAATTTTTTGAAAAATACAAGGACCAGCATTAATTATTTTTAATGAATATTAAAATGAATGGTAACCAGGTATAAATCGGGTACGAGTTTATAACGTAATTTTTAGTGGATATGGATAGGTCGCATGGCCATCTCTAATTGAATTCTTGATTGGACGATTCAGAAACGTTTTTTTTTATCACTCCATCTAATGGTGATAAACTAGTTGTTCCAAAATTAATATCACATGTTTATATTTAATTAGTTTATTATTTGAATAGAATGAAATAATAAATTTTAGTTAAATTATGACAAATGCTAAGTATTAAAAAATGGTTACGTGAAAGATGTACTTCTATTCTTAAATAAGAAAGGTTAGGCAAGGGTAGGTCGTTTTCCATTAGACTAAATCTATACCTAATGGAAATTGTTGTTATAAATCCATTATTTGTATTTTTATTAATTTGTCAAAAAAAAAATCCTTCTAAGCACTTATATTTTAGATTTCAATCAGCTGAATATAATTTATCTAAAATAAATGAAGGACTACTTAATAAAAAAAAGATGATGATATTAATAGAAATGACATGAAAGTTGATAAAAACGAATCATGTACCAAAAAAAAAAAAAAAAAAACTCAATTTATTTAGATAAATTAAAAATTATATTGAATTGACCGACTGAAATTGATTGATTTAATTGATCGTGACTTGGTTCCTACTATATCAAGTTGAAACTCTTTTTAATAGAGAAGAAACAACAAGAATATGATATTTGAATCAAGAAAAACTGATTAAATTTGATAAGAACTTACTAAAGTTTGTCTTGCCGTTAAGGTGGTTAGGAAGATGGGAGAAAGAATACTCTATTTTCTAGAGGGAGAGAATGGTTTGTCCAAAGAAAATTAAAAGATTAATGGCTTCGACTCATATATAATTTGCCGTGGATTTAGATTTAGAAGTTGAGGAAATAAACTCATCTAATAATAATAATAATAATAAAAAAACCTCTCTCCTAACTAAAAACATAGAAGAAACTAAAATATAGATGAGATTTTTTTTTTTTTTTGTCACGAAAATATAATAGCATTTTCTTACTATTTTTTCTTTTTAATTGATTGATAGAGCATCTTCCATTGAAAGTTTTATTTCCAGCCAATGGTAAAATGAATGTACTTTTTTTTTTTTCCTTCAAAGATGAGCCATTCTCATGTTATAAAAAGTATGTTAGGATTTTGGATACGATCTGAATCCAATTGATAAGTATATCATAAATGAGTAATTTTACAATTACCTTTAATACTAACATCTTACTTAAAGATATTGCTAACGAGATTGGATAACCTATAAAAATGACAAGGCTCTTGACGAGGTTGGATTGAGGTGGTAACCATTGAAGAACGGTTGTTGGTTTCACTAGAACACTTGCAAAACTAACCCTCTTGGTGGGATTAGATGTCCGAGTTAACAAATGTATGGAGATGCAAACTTGGAAGGTTAAATGGCTATTTAGGTGTGAGAGAAGAAGAAAATTGGTGAGGAACCCATGGCGATCTCAAATACGATCACAATATACTTGTGCTAACGCCGAAAGGGAATGGTACTCAAAGCAACAACCCAAATGGCAAATAGGAAAGTATTTCTCTTTTGAAACTTGAAAGAACAATGTATTTTACGTAGAAATCAGTCTCCATCCTTGATTGGCAAGCTAATTTCAATGCTTCCAAATCTCTAAATCATAGTTTTTCAAGCATCTTCCGATTTTATGCAATTTGTGTTATTGGTTAAGGGATTTGTTTACCCATCTTCCTCTTGACCCCACAAAATTTAGCCTCCTACCGGTTAATATCTTGACATAGAAACTCGAAAGTTTGAAATAAGCCATGGTATAGATAGGAATAGGAATAGTTGTTGTAACGTATTTACCGAGGCTTATTGATGCAAAAAAAAAAAAAAAAAAAAAACCCATAGTTTGTACCCCTTTTAATTACATTAACACGTTTTTTTTAATATTAGACAAAAAAAAAAACACAAATTAAGCTTATGTTAACAATATTAACACGAGTGAATTTTTCAACCAAAATTCCAATAAACTATTAATAACATAGTTTCAAAGACAATGAAAACCAAACTGAATTATGAAGGGTCCTCGATCAACCATAGTTAATTGTGAACTACTCCATTCAATGACTTTTTTAGCTAGAAAAAATTCACCATATCAACGAGATAATGAAATTTTAATTAAAAAAAAATCCACGTGTATTAACATGGTTAACAAAAATTTAATTTATAAATTTCTTGTCTAATATTAAAAGAAGGTGTTTATATAATTAAAAAATATAAAATTTGTAATAAGTCATTTATTGATAACTTTCTTTCTTCCTTGAGATAAATTTCTGACCTTGAGTCCGAGACGCAATCTTATCCTTGAAATTCAAAAACGTTTTGCACTTTGATCTCTGAATATGTGAAGAATAACCTAAAGTAAGTTCCAACATGTTGAATATGAACGAGCTGCATCGAAGAATTACAAAGAAATTGAGGAGAGTTCTTATCGAAAAACATCAAAGACTTTTCAAAGTTAAAATATTGACTAATAATAAACTCATAATTACGAAGGATAAAATTCTATTAGCGGCAACAAGAATTTTTTATTCATATAATCATTCTAATTTTTCAAAAATATTCTCAAAATTGCATACTTTTTATGCTCACTAAACCTTAATCTAAAACATCTTTATAATTGCTTCGTTTTATAATCACTGTAATTTTATGGTTTAAACTTTTTTTTTGTAAAAAAAAAAAAAAAACTTAAAACACCAGCCAACACTACTGTCAAACGAAATATTTTTCATAAGAAATTTATAGACACAAAAATTATAAAATTTCACAAAGCAATCATAAACATATATAGTTTTATATTTAAGAATTTTAAAAATAAATTTTTGCGTTAATTGGTTGTTTAAAAATGTGTTTTAGAGTTAGCTTAAAATTTTTTCCGGAATATAGATGATCAGAACATTAAAGAAAATAATTTTTTTAATTTTTTATTTAAACATGGAGGACCTAATATTATTTGCTTAACAATTCACTCCTCATTGATATTTGATTAAGTCAAGTGGATCCTTTGATGTTGAAAAGCAGGATTATCACTGTAGTTAAATTCTCTGTGATTCACATCATCACATGTCAACAGAATCTCTTTTCTCTCTGAGTCCAGAGCCATCGTTCTGGTCAAACACCAAAAAATTAATAAAATAAATATCTTCTACTCCCAACCCATCAACCTTTTGCTAACCATAATTTAGGGTTTCTCTCTCTCTCTAAAAACTTTCCTTTCTCTGTCTCTCTCTCTCTCTAAAAGGATTCTCTTGTACTGTACAGTTCTCCTTGCACAAATCGAAGCCAAGTCTCGCATTTTGTGCAGCTCAATTCCTCAACCTTCGAGCTTAGAAACTCACAAAAAAGCTAATTTTTTAGCTTCAGTTTGCTTTAATTTTTACTGTTGTTTGAGCTCGATTGTTACCAGTAGCTGATCAGGATTCAAAGAAGTTCGATTGCAGCAAGTTTTCGATGAGGAAATTGTACGGAATTTGCGCTTGATATTAGCATGCATTTCATCGGCAAACCAATTTAGATCTGCTTTCTGCTTGAAAAAGAAATGTGTGAATTTGGACTATACTTTTTTTTTTTAATTCTGAAAGCATTTCAGGGCTTGATTGATAATTAAATTATGTATGGTTAATTTGAGCAAGCATGTGTTCTTTGAATTATTATATTAATTTACAAGAAAATGTATCAAATTACCCTCACAAAAAAAAAAAAAGAACAAAAATGTATGAGAAACGAGTAAAAAAAGAACGCTCCTTTGTCGATTGGAGCTGCTTATGCATAAGTTGAATTTCAGCTAATTCGGTGTATGCATTTGTTTTGTATTTTTTTTTTTTTAAATTTGAGCAATGCATAATGAATGTGAATTTTTCAGGACAGAGTTGAGTATGTCTTGATTTGTTGAGAGCTAATTTGTGTGTTCTGGAATGGTTGTTTCTGCTTTTGGTGAAGGGTAGTGGTGTGCTGAGTAATGGCGCTTAGAGTTCCAGCTCCAAAGGCAGCTAAGGTTGCAATTGAGTCAATAGGGCGTGGATATGATGTATCAATTGATCTAAGGTTGAGATACTGTAAGGGGGATCTGAAGGATACACGGTTAATTGAGATTGATGAAGACGGGGGTCGAGAAATCATTTTGCCAGGTGGGATTTCAATACCAAATGTGTCCAAATCGATAAAGTGCGATAAAGGGGAGCGAACTCGGTTTAGGTCTGATGCTCTGTCATTCCAGCAGGTAATTGCTAAATTGTTTAATTTGATTGCTTCATAATTCGATTGTTTTATGTCAAATAGATTCTGAATTGGTTGCTTTATTGCATGCTTTGGCTACTAATTAATTCGTCAAAACATGTTTGCCTTTTCATACATTCTCCTATAACATGTTTTTTTCTCCTTTGCTAGCTTGCTTTTCAATGCACTCCTTTCTTTCTTCTGCATTGTTATCATCCATATCTCAATTGAACTCTCTCTCTTAATATGTTGTTTCATTGCCTCTTTTATGTCAATTTTCTTCTCGTGACTGAGTTTTTCTCACTTTTGGATACGTATGGTTTGTCCATGCTGTTGCTACATCTTTTTTGACATGTATTTTTTTTTTTTTAATTTGTGGTTAACCATCCATGGTAGATGGGTTGCCTTTAAACAGAGAGAGCTACGAGGGATGCTAAGGAAGAATTCCCTCATAGTTAGACAAAAACTTAGCCGCTACATCTGAACTAGTCACACCCAATTCCTGGCCAACTAAATTAATGTCTCCTTCAGTTACTGGTTTAAACCCTTTTGACTTGTTGAACTGTAATAGACGTTTCTCGAAGAGATCAAGTTTTTCTAAATTTTTACAAAGGTGATGGGATGGGTTGTGATTTGGGTTTTCAGTCTTGCTGTTAGTCAAATATTCAAACGCATACTGCTCAAGATACTGGATTAGGTTGTTTGTAGAGCAGCCTGCTTGTTCCTTTAAATTTACATGCATTATGTGACAATAGTATTGTCAGAGAAGGATATCATGTTTGTGGGTTTCTTTTTCTTTCGCTGTGTCTCATCTTTTCCGTTTTTTCTTGTTTTCTTTCAGATGTCTGAGCAGTTCAACCAGGAATTGTCTTTGACTGGAAAAATTCCCTCAGGTTTTTTCAATGCCACGTTTGAATTCTCAAGTTGTTGGCAGAAAGATGCTGCCAACACTAAAACCCTTGCTTTTGATGGAGTGTTTATTACACTCTATACAGTTGCTTTAGAGAAGTCTCAGATGGTGCTCCGTGATCATGTTAAGAAGGCTGTCCCATCATCATGGGAACCTGCTGCATTAGCAAAGTAAGTTTTCATAGTTTTATTTTCAACCAAATCGTGAGTTTGCAGTCCATATTCATGCCTCATCTGAGTGAAAGCTTTTCTTTGATTCTGATAGTGACTTCAATTTTAAACTCTTGCTATCCAATAGAACTTTTTTCGTTTTCAATATATATCCATGATGTTGCTATTTTTGTGTTTTATAACAATCTCTGGAATTTAAAATGCCATGCACCTGCTGTGTCTTGTACAATTTCCTATGATGGCGCTATAATTAGTTGGAGAAGCATAATGTGTGATCCTATAGCATATGTTTTCATGGAGAAGATTAACCCCTTAAAAGTAGGGTTAATAGGAAGAAAAAGGAAGAGGAAGAACAAGGAATAGGGAGATAAAAATGAGCAGAGCAGCTCTTCTAAATCAAATCCAAAATCTATATGCCAGATAACCTGTTCCATTACGTTTGTAGCATCCCTACTTATAAAACAGAAAGATGGGGAATAGGAGATGTGAAATTAAAGCTGATCAAACTTAAAGATTCTAAACATCTTGGAAGATCTGGAGAACCTAAAACTAATATGAAGAGAGAGAGAGTTGGGGGGGTTGTGAGGGAACTCTTTTGTAAAAATCCCTATTACATCCTGATTTTCTACTTTGCTTTTCGTTGTGATTTTTTTTTTTTTAATTATGAGTTTTTGGATTTTATTTTAGCTAACACTGGATGAAATAATTTAAAAACGGGACAGAAGATTAATTAAAATTGTAAGTTAGCATGTGAAAAACAATGGACTTGCTGATATCATTCTTTACTCTCCTAAAGGTCTGCAATTCTTGTTGAGAGCCATGTATAGCAAGTAATGCGTTCTGCATTTTGAACAACTTGTACTGTGTTAAATGCTATGAATTTGGCACCACTCTCTTGAATGGGTACATTTACTGGCATACTTCTATGGCACTGCCTTGTTGCACAACACTTTGTACGACTGGACCTTCAAATTCTTGTCTCCAGGGCAACACATCCACAGCTTGACTGTGCATTCCATAAAAAGTTGCAAGCTTCTTATCTCACATAATGCGATCGTATTTCATTTTCCAGTATGGAGTTCTTCTTGAATAATCCTTCTTTTATGAATACACATTGAAGTACTCATATTTGATAAGATCCCGAGTAATAATAATGTGGTGAATGATGGACCTGAGCATGGATGGCATGGTTGATATGGTTTAATACAATTCAAGTTCTACAGTTTTATTCCAAGTTCACCCTTTTCATTTAGATTCGTCACTAAGTTTTGTGTTTGTTTGTGCTCCCAAGAAACTGATGTTGCCTTGGCCCTTGTGCTTTGTGAGAGTTTGCGATTGCTGTCTGTATTGATCTTAATGTATTTTTATTTGGATTCCTTTCTTAAAATACTGTGATACATATCAATGTAAATCTGTTTAATCCCAATCCATTTTCGGTTAAGGCATGTAGAAAAATTTGCTTACCATTTGAAACAAAGTGTGCTGTCCTAAGTTCTTAAAATTAAACTGGAATATGGCAATATGCTTGTTGTTTCAGGTTTATTGAGACATTTGGCACTCATATTATTGTTGGTGTGAAGATGGGTGGGAAGGATGTAATATATATGAAACAACTACATTCATCAACTCTTCAACCTGCTGATATACAGAAGAGATTAAAGGAGATGGCAGATAAGAGGTTTTTAGATACAAACGGACAGTATAGTATGGCTTCTGAACAAGTTTACCAGAACAACAAGGTTTGTGATTAATTTGTTCACGCTACTTTTTTAAGATTTGGAATTCGAAGTATTTAACATATGATCTGATTTTTGAAATCCTATTAGTTGCTTCAGTCCCTACAATCTGATTCTTATTGGTAGATCTAATTTTCTGACCATTGCAAAACTAAAATAAATATGATTTTACTTGAAATTCTTAAGTCAATTTTAGATGATAAACTTAATTCCATAATCAAAATCCATGCTGTAGTTTCATGGGTACTTGAAATTCCTTGAATGCTTGGGATGCCATGATATTTTAGGATCTCCATCATGACCATAGTTGAGCAATTGACTAATTATGGATTAGGCTGGCAGTTTCTATCACTAATCCCAACATGTAAATGAGATTATGAATGTCTTTAAAAACATTTGGATTTGGGAGATGAAGTGCACAATTGAAGTGCTGTTTAATGTTAACATATGAGATGTTGAGCACAATTAGATTGAAAAGGGGGAAAAAAAAACCTTGTAGAATGAGGCATGCAGTAGCTTGATTTCAGCCATTACACATAAGAAAGGTACTGATTATAGAACCATTATGGCCATAGTGGCTGCAAAACAGCAAAACCCGTTGTAAAACAGGAATTTAATGGTAACTTTCCATTGCATTACAGTTGTTATAAAACAGCCATCTTTTGATTCCATGGCACCAAGGCCAATGTTAATGGAGCAAACCACATGACACTGAAATGCCAAATTGAGACTGTCACCGGAGTGCTAATGATCTTTAAATTACTTGTATATCAACAAAAATGATTTGACTGTTTGGTTTCTATGTAAATTCCATGTAATCCACATGTGTGTGGGCACACACAATTGGCATATTTGGTTCTTATATTTTCGAGGCATCTTTTCTAAACACTTTTGCTTCAGCTTGAAATTAGGGAGCAGAGGCTGAGATTTGCTGATACCAGCCCATCAAGCTCGTATTCTCACAAGGAGGTAGTGTCCCTGATATTCTTATTTTCATTTGGATATGATGAATTCTTGATATGCTAGTCAAACTTATCTGCTGAAATATTTTGAAGATCTCTGGAGTTTTCTTTGGTGAAAATTGTAATTTTGATTGTTATCCTGTAATTACTGTGATTGCAGGATATTAGAAGACTTTACAAGAGAAGAGGTGGAAGTGATAATGTGATTTTATCCCATACTGAGTGGTTAAACACCGTTCAATCTGAGCCTGATGTTATCTCAATGTCGTTTATCCCGATTACCTCTCTGTTGAATGGCATCCCAGGGTGTGGATTTTTGAGCCATGCCATAAATCTCTATTTACGATGTGAGTGAAAAATGTTCTCAAGTTTATAACTTCATTGGATTTTGTTTTGCCTTTGTGTTATTAATGATCAAACCATAGGCTCTCAAAAAATAAAATAAATAATAATAATAATAATAAGAATGATAATAAATAAATAAATAAAGAAAAGAAAAGATCAAAGCATGTATGGTTAATCGTAATTAGTTCAACCTTAATAAAAAATTTGCTTGCTTATCATTAGAAATTTTTTTCAGGGCTTTTAATTTTTTTGTCACAAGTTCATTTTGATGTTTACATGTTATTGATCCTCAGATGTCTTTTAGAGAGTGTGATGTCCTTTGTATCACTGTTCTTCTTTTGCTGCAAGACATTTTTGCTCATTAGAAATGACTTCCGTGCTTCTGCTAATCATACCAGATAAGCCCCCAATTGAAGAGCTACACCAGTTTTTGGAATTTCAGCTGCCTAGGCAGTGGGCGCCAGTGTTCAGCGAACTTCCTCTAGGGCCTCAGCGGAAGCAACAAAATACAGCTTCATTACAGTTCAGTCTCATGGGGCCAAAGCTTTTTGTGAACACTAGTCCGGTAAAGCTTCCTGTCTTGTCAAATTGTTGTTTGCAATTGGATTTGCTGGATTTTCTTAACCATGAAGCTCTCATGTGCATATACCATGTATTACTTGGTGTCTTCAACTAGTAAAGATCTAATATGATGATGTCTTATGGTGAGTTTCATACATGGAAATAGAATGTCCTAGTGCTTTATCCATATGATCACTAGGGTTGGTGTGGATCTCAGATGTCAACCATTTGCTGTGTGCATTGTCTCTGCTATAAATCTGGATATGACTTTATAAATCTTTTAGATATATCCTTTTCCAATATTTTTAGCTTTCTCGGATTGTCAGTACTGCCATAGCACCAACTGTATTAATCAATCAAGAATTTTAATAGCTTATCAATGTTTCTTTGAATTCTTCCTGAAGAAATTTCTCAGATAAACTAAGGTAAACCCATCCCTGTTGTTCTCTTGTCACAAGCAGCTGTTTGTTTAACAGAAAATTTCAGACAAACTAAGCTAACCCAAAATATCTATATTCCTTCTTCCAATGATGGTGTGCAATGCCAAAAAATGGTGATATGTCTGCTGTGATTTTGCTTTCTGCTAGATTCTGGTTTATATTTTATTTATTTATTTCATAAATTGTCTGACAGGTTGATGTGGGTAAGAGACCAGTGACTGGCCTTCGGCTTTATCTAGAAGGTAAAAGGAGCAATCGCTTAGCCATACACTTGCAGCACCTTTCTTCTCTTCCAAAAATCTTCCAACTTAAAGATGATACAAATGGTAATTTCAGTCAAGATTCCCATGATCGTAACTACTATGAGAGAGTTCAATGGAAACATTTCTCTCATGTCTGCACAGCTCCTGTGGAGTCTTATGAAGATCTTTCTATTGTAACTGGAGCTCAGTTACACGTTGTGAGTTCTGGGTTTAAGAGTATTCTCTTTTTGCGACTTCGATTTTCAACTGTGTTGGGAGCTGCAGCTGTAAAGCATCCAGAGTGGGATGGATCGCCAGGGTTGGCACCTAAGTCCGGCCTCATATCAACATTAATCAGCCATCACTTCACATCAGTGCAGAAGCCATCTCCACGGCCAGCTGATGTTAACATAAATTCAGCCGTATACCCTGGTGGTCCTCCCGTGCCAGTTCAAGCCCCTAAGCTTCTTAAGCTCGTTGACACAACAGAGATGACAAGAGGACCACAAGAAACTCCTGGCTATTGGGTTGTTTCTGGGGCAAGACTAGTGGTTGAGAAGGGCCGGATTTCTCTCCGGGTTAAGTATTCCTTGTTGACTCAAATATTACCTGACGATGACGATGTTGAAATAGAGCAGTAATGGATTTTATACTCTCACTCACCCTTGAAAGAAAGAAACTCAAAATACAATAGGAAATTGAGAGAGTGAAAGAGATAGTCATTGGGATGGGAAGTGATTGGTAAATTGTTGTTGTAAACGTGTGTTCGTCACCCACCAATTATTTTTCCTTCCTGTAATGTAATTATGCTTCTGTTGTAGATTCTTCAATTGGTGAGTTCAATCTGGTTACCACTTCTTTTATCAGTGTTCTTGCACTCATCTATTCTGTGGGATTGATAGCATATTTCGTTCGTGTACTCTGTTTTTTATTTATTTATTTGGCTCTTCTATTTTAGATATTTTCTCAATGTAATTCTTTTAATAGGATTTTGATCAATTTTTTGATAACAAGTGATAGTAGATTGCCAAGTCACAATAGAGGCACTTGTTTTTTTTTATAAAAAATTAAAATAAAATGAAACTGAAAAATAGAATAGAAATTTTTTTTGTTTGAAATTAATTTTTTGACGTGTTATTATTATTTGATGTGATAATCTTATTAAGAAAATATCTAATTAAATAAAAAAATTGAGTCTCGTTAAAAAAAAAAAAGTCTAAAGTAGAGAGACTAAATAAATAAGTAAAAATAGTAGGAGGACCATATTAAAAATACAGGGATCAAGCATGCCATTAATCCATTCTAGGTGTGATTATATACGCTTGGAAAGTATAGTGAAGAGGATTAAATAATACTAGATTAGTTTGAAATTTGAATGCCATTTATGATAAAAAGACAAACTATTTAAAAATAATTTTTTGGATACGAAAATTTATTGTATCAAATTGTCATTATAAAAGAACAATTATCATATGTTTGTATAAGGTTTTTGTTAAATTTATTTGTCCATAACATTTGGACCAAAATTAATAAAATAAATAGGTTTGGTATTTAATTGATAATGTGATAATACTTTAGGTTCTATCATATTTCATATATACAATAAAAAAATAGCGTAAATCCATCTAGTTTCGAAAAATTAGTTGATTAATTTTTCATTTTAAAAATTAATTATTTAATTTTTAAATTTCTTGTAAATCAATCTTTTGTTTTATAATTTATTTTGATTCTTCTTTTAAGAAATAAAATAAGATATGAAAAAATTGACGAGAAAATATAATAATTTATAAAATAAAATAATATTAAATTAAATACGTATTAAATATTAAATAATTAGTATTTAAAATAAAGAGGACTAATAGAATAATTTATAATTTACTCTATAAAAACAAAACCTCTGAGGCTTTGAAATAAGAAGAGAGTAGAATACCAAAATTACCCTAGTCTTCCTCTGCTGCCTGCAACCCTAACTACACTGCACTATCTCCATTTCCTAAGGGAAAAAAAAAAAAGAAAAAGAAAGATGAAAAACCCTTCTCTCTAAACCCATCAATTCTTCCATAAAGGAAATAGAGGATGAGTTCCATAACAACAAAACTTGCCTCTAAAACACTGAAAAGAATCCTCACCTTCACCCCAAAACCCACCACCACTTTCTCTCGCTCTTTCTCGGCCGAGACCCAAACCCAAAAGCTCGAACGCATTGCTGACGAGCTTCTTGACCTAACAAAGATCGAGAGGCACGACTATGCCATTCTCTTCAGACATAAAATGGGTCTTCAACGCTATGGCCCTGCGGTATCTGGAGCCATTTTATCAGGCCCGGGTGCACCTGGATCCGCCTCTGGGGATGCGAAGCCGGCTGAAGCGGCTGAGAAGACTGCCTTTGATATTAAATTGGAGAAGTTCGATGCAGCGGCTAAGATCAAGATTATAAAGGAAGTTCGGACTTTTACTGATTTGGGTTTGAAGGAAGCTAAGGATTTGGTGGAGAAAGTGCCTGTGGTTTTGAAGAAGGGTGTTACTAAAGAGGAGGCTAATCCAATTATTGACAAGCTTAAAGAATTGGGAGCTACCGTGGTACTTGAATGAATGAATTCCTTTTTCTTTCTTTCTTTTGGTGAATTTTGATGTAGAATAATTTATTGCTTACCTCAAATGATAATGGAGAAATTTGGAGGACCTTAGGTTGCCACATTGGTATTTATGGATTTCTCTAAATTAAGTTTTGTGTTACTATTAAATCTAGTTTTAGGGATATTTGTGATTACTTGGTGATTAGAGAGGAGATTCCAGAGTATGGAAATTCTTGTTGATTAGTTCATGTATAAGGATTTGAGTTAGTTTTGCCATTGTCTTTCTAAAACTTAAGTTGTCTTCTATGTTAATGATCTGGTTAGTTTAATCTTCGCCTCATGCATTGAAAACATCAACTCAGAATGTTATGTCAAGAATTTTAGTTTACAAACTTGTATTGAAGATTGCTGTGTTGCTAATTTTTCCATGAGATTGACATCTTTTTGGCCTGAGGGGCAGCTCTTGTCCTCTCCTCTGCACTCATATTTGTTTTCTGTTTTCTAAATTTTTTTGAGAGGCCGTGTTACGTAATGTTAAGAATAATGTCCTACTTGATAGAAGTCTCTAGTATGGTATGCAATGGATAATATCTTCTAGTTATATTCTTTAAGGTTGGTGTTGTTGCTAGGATATCTCTTGAAAGAAGAGCACATATTGTGTTTCTTCTCATAAATTGCGAATCCCGTATCAAAATACTTTTGAGGTTTACTTGGGACTGTGTGAGGTTGAGTGCCAAAGACAATTTGGGATTTGAAAAAACAGATTTGAGGTTTTTGGTTCTTTGTTGAAATGCCGATAACACTTGGAAATGGAAACACCATGGAATTCAAAGCTTAACCATACTTATGGAGGATCATATTGCTAGCGGCTAACTTCATGGTTAGTTCACTTGATTGTTATGGACATCATCTACTTTATGGTCATTGTTACAGAATCATTTTGTCATGGAATTTAATCCTCACTTTCCTTATTTTGTATGATGTTCTAGGCTATTTATTTTTATGCATGAACTTATTTTATTTAAATTGCTGCGCTGCTGTAACTGTTCTTCTATGACTTGTATAAAATATGCAAAACCAACGGTTCCACAAGACCTCCTAGTAAGCAAATATGATATTAAGAGAAGAAGGCTCGCAATGGTTTTGTTTGGAGATGTAATGGTGAAAGTTATATTTGAGCCGAGGATATTGTAGTGATCTCGAAGGAGTGGCAAAACCATAGCATTTTCTTTAGTCCAATTGGCTAATAAGAGGATCACAATGTGTTAAAAAGAATTTTGGCCAAATGTTCTGAACCTCTCCTTACCTTTAACTCGTTTGAGAATCAGTTCTTCAATTTCTTCTAATTTTAGATGGAGCAACAAAATCATTTTGTTAAGTTTTCATCGGTTCTAACGTATAAATACATTTATAAATACCTTGTATTTTTCCTTGTAAATGCTAAGAAGTAAACGATTAAAGAATATTTTAGAAGAGAAAAAACAAGTTTTGAAGAAAAAACAAAACATTTGTAAGTTTTAGTATATTTTTTGCCATTGAAAAAAATTTAAAAGTCCACCATGAATTGACGAAAATATAATAAAAGGATTCAATTTCAAATTTTTTTAAAAAAAGAAAAAGAAAAAGAAAAAAAGTTAAGAGGAATGTTCAATCTGAAATTAAAAGTTCAAGAATTTATTCTCAAATGACTTAAAGGTCAAGGAACGTTTTTACTATTTAGCCAAGAATTTTATTATTCAATTGAATCTACCACCAGGCGTGTCTTGAGCTCTACTCACTAGCTTGTCCAACTATTTACACAGAACATGTATTAACTTAAAGATTAATGACTAGCTTGTCCAACTATTTTCTGCAATTCTCACATATATTAAACCTTGACGTCCTTGTGATTCCATCAGCTTCATCATTATTGTCACTTGCAGTTGCAGCAGCTACTCTCACAGCAACACTGTGGATTGGTAGGGCAACCTAGTCTTCACAACTATAAACACATGAATAAATTTGCATCTCCGACCCTAAAGCCTGAAACTGCAAAATTTCTCTACAAGAGACAGAATTAGGAAAATAAACGATCAGTGCTAATGTATAATTAATTATCATATGACATCAACCTCGTTAGACAAAATAAAACAGAAAACGGGCTTGTACGCCTGTTTGGTTCATGTGATATAGAAATGGAAATGGTGTCACTTTGTCTGCAACCATGAACAGCAATTGCATTGGAGCAGAGCAGTGGAGATTCATAACAAGACAGCGGTGCCTCTCTGGTAGCCACTTTACATGAGCATCAGTAGCTTCTCAGCCTCTACAAGATCACAAAGGGAATCAGAACAGGCATTTCTCAATTAGAGATTTTCTTCAGAGCGGGTAATGTGACATTTTATTCCACACAGATAGGAAAAAGTGTAGTAGCATTAATGTGAAAGACCATATAGACACGAACCCGGACAGGCCATATCGCAAAGATCGTGATGAGTTGCATGAGAGAGTCAACCAGACAGCTCAGATTCTATCTTGGTCGTCCATGGTGTCAACCGATGTTATCTTCCCGGATGACAAAATGAACAGGAACACATATCATGTTGGAAGCAACTGTTCCTCTGAATCTCAGCAGACGGTTTCTTCTGCACACGGTTTTTCGTTTGCCAAATCTGCATCAGGTCAAACCATAGCATCGGGTTTAGATATTGATTCAGGTCAATTTCATCTGAACGCTCAATCAAGCTATACTGATGAAAAATGTGGAGATAAATTGTGAACCTAGAAAGACTGCAAGTTCTACAAACAAAGATACAAAAACCCTAGTTCCAGAAAGTGCGTCACAGAGATTTAAGCATCTTGATTCAGAGTTCCCTACATTGTGCGTGGGGTATTAATGTATTGTTGATGTGACAATGATACAAACCTTGCTTAATTCATCAACTAAAAAAAAAAGATTTTGATTCAACACAAACCGTTGCAAATTAAAGACAAAAAAGTTCAAAATTCATAAAGGAGGAGAATACCGGCATGCTAAAAACACAAAGAACAGAACAACATTTAATTTTATCCTTCTAAAAACCTGACAGTGCCTCGTCTCATTCTCAGCCGTACTCCTAACGCACTTGGTGAAAGCTTTATTCCTCAACCTGTACCTTTTTTTATGATTCTTGCTGGGCTTGGACATTGTTGAATTCATAAAATTAGTAGAAATTGTTGACAATAAAAAATCTTGAACAAAACTAAACGCACATAATTGAAAGATAGCTACATTTTCTCTTGTATTTAAAGCTTTAAGGTGTTTTTGCTTGAAAAAAAAAAGAAAAAAAAGCTTGCAACGAGGTGATTGATTAGTGGAGATAGGTATGGAAAGACGTAATAGAAGTTTTGTGCCAGAAGCTTATTCCAGTCATACTATCCTATTTCTTTCTTGTACTAAAAGCAGCAGGTTTTCAATTCTTCATTTACAACTCTCTCCCTGCTCAGTGGAATGAATGATATATATATATGGTGGCAACTAAAATGCCAGCAAAATTTGCAAAAGGCATGAAATAGAAGCAAAAGTTATCCTTCCCTACAGCTGAAACAATCTAAAAATATACTAAAGAAATAGAGGGTTTTTTTTTTTTTGAAGATGAAAATATAGGAAAATCAGGGAAAAAAAAACATAGAAGAAGGTACAGGAATGTAACTGTGCCATGAAGTACTCCCAACATTATGATGCCTTCAGTGATTTAACATGACTGTTTTTTCCTAAATATATTGAAAATCCAGATGAACTTCAGTCAGGGATCATGCAGCTAGATTAATACTTGCACCAAATCTTTTTCAAAGTTCATTTGTTGTTTCTCCATGTAATTTTTGTTTGAGAGATATCAGCAATCCTGTTACCAGCAGATAGGAGACAGAAGAGCAGAACCCAAGGGACAAAAGTCATTCGCTAGTAATCTGTTGTAGTTCATGCGCTAAGAAAGAAAAGGGAGGTTTTGAGGATCGAAAAGGATATCCTAGCCAAAATGAGCCATTTATTATGAAAGCTTTGGTGTTTGATAGGAATACTGAATCATCATTTCCTTCTGTAGCGTTTAACCAGTAGACACAATGTGCTATCAACAACACATGATACTTGGAAAATGGCTAAGTTTATGTGTAGATTTATTCAGTGCCAAACTTGATAAGGTAATGACTTGGAAGGCATCATATGTGTGGCACATAATTTGCTGGTTGACATTTTAACGAAATTTTCCAACACTGGAAATTCTTTTTTATGATTCAAACAGTATAGAGAAAAGTTTTTCTAACTGACAGAGGCACTAAGCATCTTATCCTATTCTAAAGAAGAATGTAACCCTTCGAAAATCCAAGTATAGGTCAATGGTTCTTGAACAATCAAAAGGCCTTGTTGGTCTAGGAATAGGTGTCCAGTTTATGTATCTTGGTTTAGGGTTTCTAGTTTGGAGTTACCAGTGATTTTTAATAAATCAATGTCAGACTTGCAACCTCATCATATTCCTGCAAAACAGGACCATCTAGCCAATATTCAGATTTTTTATAAGGTCTAGCTTTTATTTTGAAATGTGGTTCATTTAATATTAGATTCTGTAGTCTTTACTCTTTAATAAGTTCTTCCTGTTTAGTTGCTTTCTCCTTATAACAGTCTATTTAGAAGTCCTAGTCTAAGAGTTTCTAGAAGTCCTAATCCATATAATGCCAGATAATTTTATATACATGAGTAATGGTATAAAACTGAGATTTGATATTTTGGTTTCTGTGGTTTCTTCTTCTATTTCCTTCTACTTCGCCTCCTCTTTTCCTGTAGCTATACTGTCTCAGGTTACCGCTCACAACCCAATTCAAACTTCAAACCAGCCCTTAGATCCTCATATAAACCCTCTAGTATCAACATGAATCGCTTCTAAAACAAACCCCTAATGAATACATCAAACTCCAAACCTAATTCTCAACTATAACATGAAAAAAATAAAAAATTGATGTTGTCGAAGTTGTCGGCATTAGTAATCTAGTAAGTTATCTAATAAGTCAAGGGAAGCTGGAAACGATGTGCTGATCTACAAGTAAATGTTTACCTGCTGCAGAACTGTTATCACAGAGCCAGCAAGGGAAGAGCAGGTTGTGCAGGCTTTTAACTGTAGACGTGCTATTGGAAACTGAAACTTCCATCCTTATCCTTACCAGAAATCTCCACAATTGCAAATTCCATCCTTGAAATGATGAAATCGACTTGCATCTCTTACTGTTATGTCTCTCTTTGTTACAAGAGAAATAAATTTAATAGCAGTGTGGCAATCACCACAAACTCGCAAATTCTTAGTTACTAAGATGGGCTTGTTGGGACTCAAACTAAGAATTCCTAATGCAATAGCTAGTTTCTCACTATGATAAAGGAGGACGTGTTCCTTCTCCTCTTCCTCGATGTCTTGGAAAACATAGCTAGATTCTGCGTGGTAACCCAACCTTTTCATATCCACTAGCAGTTCATCAAGTTTGTTGCTTATCTGTGTCAGCAGCGGGTGGCACCTATCTCCACCACCAACAAACGTATGGACGACCCCACTTATTTCAATCCAGCTGCATCCAGGACTTTTCTTAAAACCCTGTTCCTTTTGTGTGATTCTAACCTCTGCTGCATCATCCCATCTCCCAACAGCACTATACATATTGGATAGGAGAACAAAGTTCCCAGTACTTTCAGGTCCTAGCCTTTGAATTTTCTTTGATACTTCTTCCCCTAGTTTGACATTCTTATAGACTCGACAAGCAGCAAGCAGGGCACCCCATACACGAACATCAGGATCAAGTGGCATCTTTTCAATGAAATTGTGTACCTCTTTGAAAAGCCCAGCCCTGCTTAAAAGATCAACCATGCATGCATAATGCTCCATTCTGGGGATGATTCCAAAATCTTGGGTCATGGCATTAAACCAGTATTTGCCTTCGGCAACATGTCCTGAATGGCTGCAAGCAGATATAAGGCAAACAAAAGTCACATCATCTGGCTTTAAACCTTCTGCCCGCATGTGGTCAAACAACAATAGCGCTTCCGTTCCAATCCCATGAATTCCATAAGCAGTTATCATGGTATTCCATGACACAATATCCCGCTTATAAATCCTATCAAAAACTTTCCTAGCAGTGGCAATCCTCCCACATTTTGCGTACATATCAATAAGAGCATTACAAATCATGGTATCAGCAGTAAATCCACGAATGATTGCATAACAATGGCTGCAAGACCCATGCTGTAAAGCAGCCAAATGAGCACAAGCTGGCAGGATACTTGCCATGGTTGCTTTTTCTGGATTCATCCCAGAGGACTGCATCTTGAGGAACATACGCAAACCCTCTTCAGAATTACCATTTTGAACATAGCCTGAAATGATAGCACTGAATGAAACTGCATCTCTTGAATCCATTTCATTAAAAAACCTCATTGCATCATCGGTAATCCCACACTTGGCATACATTGAAAGCAAAGTATTTCCAACCATCAAATCCGAAACAAATCCTGACTTTATGGCATAACAATGCAAGCATCTTCCCCTGCTTAAATCAGTTAATTTTGCACAAACTCGAAGAACAGTAGCAAGAGTTGCTGCTGAAAGAATAATTCCATCATCCTTGAGCACCAACAAGTGACAAAATAGTTCCAATGCGTCCCTCATAAAATCACACACAACATATGCACCAATCATAGCACTCCAAGTCACCTCATTCTTGACAACACCCATCATGTCAAAAATTCTCCTGGCATAATCTATGCACTGACATTTCCCGTACACATCCAAAATCCCAGTTCCAACCACTACATCGCCAAAAAATCCTCTCCTAACACAAAATCCATGAATTTCCTTGCCATGTCTCAATGAATTCGCTTGAGCAACAGCAGGAAGTACACCAACAATTGTTGATGAATTGGGACTCACGTCCTTTTGCATTTGAACAAGAAATCGTATCGCCTCATAATAGGAACCATTATGTAAAGAAAACCCCGAAATCATCGAATTCCATGCAACAACATCCCTTTTATGCATTTCATCAAACACTTCGTTTGCATCATCCAAACGCCCACATTTAGCATAAAAATCAACCAAAGCAGTGGAAACATAGACATTAGATTCAAGCCGGAGTCTTTTGATGTCAAAATGAATCTCTCTTCCTTCATCTACTGCTTTAAGAGCAGAACACGCTTTGAGAACAAAAGGGAAGGTGAACCTGTTGGGTGTGATACCATAACCCACCATTTCATAATACAAATCAATGGCTTCTTCAAAGGGTCCATTCCAAGCATAAGCTCTTATCAATGAATTCCATAAAACAACATTTTTGGGCCTGTGGGGAATTTTATGAAACACATGGCGTGCAATTTTGAGTTCATTACAAGCTACATATAAATCAGTGAGCTTTTCGAAGAGCACATCAAAATTTTTGAGATTGGCAAAGTGGGTTTTGAGCAGACATTGATGGATCAGCTTGCCTTGAGACAGAGATTTTGATTGAATGCAAGATTCCAGGAGGATTGTGCAATGTTCAAGACTCGATGTTCTTAGGCGCGTTCCCGCTGACATGCCCTATCTTTCTTTTGCGCCAACACAAAATTCAAAGATTTAAGATTTGAGTTAATTGTACGATTTTATCCCTCAATCATGGATCAATTTTGAATTGGTCCCTCGACTATGAAATCATTTTAAACTGATCCTTCAATTTAATTATTGATTTTAGGGTAAGTAGCTCAATATATTCCTATATGATAGTCCGAGTTTTCGATCTGTAACTATATTTTTAATTATATCTATGATGCCTTTGTATAATTTTTAAGTCTTCAATTTGTTTTTTCGATTAATTTTTTTGACTATAATCAATTTTTTTAATCAAAATGCTCTTTACTAAAATACAAAAAAAATAAAAATAAATAAAACTTGAAAATAGAATATATAAGTCATGTGATTTTAAGCATTTTTTTTTTTTTGGGATTTCAATCAGAAATATTTCAGTAAAAAATTTTACACATGATTGGAAAAATCGATAAAAAGAAAGAAAGAAAGAAAGTAGAGATTAAAAGAATATTAAAAAACTTCATAGATATAATTAAAAATATAAAAATAAATTAAAAACTGATGCAATTATATAATAACACATCAACCTATTTGCCATTGATTTTAAATTGGTACTTCCTTCCGAACATCTATTAGATTCTGAATTTGATGGCACGACCATTAAATGTAACAGCAATTATTTATGGAAAACATCTTACCATAAGAGGAATAAATTTTTTATGAATTTTTTTGGTTTTAGAATGGATAGTTTGTTTATAATCTGTTTTTAACATAATTATAAGAAAAAACAAAATTTAATCTCAATACACAAAAGATAACTTGAAAATATCTTTATTTTTAATACAATAATAAAAATAAAAATTCATGGAAAGATTTAGTCCCAAATTGAAAAAAAATCTTCAATATCACCATTGACCATTATATCAGAAATTTTTTATTCACTTTTTGTTGGTCATAAATGAAAGGAGCTCTTGACTTGCCATTGAAACAAAAAATGCATGTTGCAAGGGAAATCAATTAAAAAAAAAAATGGTAATGCTAAAAAAAGAGGTATAAAAAAGGTATGGTTCCATGAAATTACCAATGATTTAAACCTCCAACAACAATTTACTATAATTGTTTATTTCTACTATAGAAGGGCGAAACCCATAAATTGCCCCCTCAAGTTGGCTGGGTTAGTCGACTAAGGGCTCTTTCTTTTTCGTTTTGTCAAGAATGGCACCAAGTTTTCATCCATTAGTCCCACTTGGTAACAAAAGCCAACGAAATGAGTAGTGCTATGAACCATTTTCATACTGGATTTACATAGATACTGTAAAATAACATCCATGCAAGTATTACACTAAGTTTTCAAGGAAATACAAGATTTTGCTCGTGGTTAGGCCAATAGATCCTTTCCCTTGGACAAGGTAAGGGTGCTGGTTGGGCAATGTAAGTAGGATGGTGCTGTCCAGGCATCACTACTGAAAAATCTGATGCGTAAGCTTCTGGCACCTGTCACCAAGCCAAGAACTTATTGTCATCAATCCATAGAAGCCTACAACTAGCTCTTCTTAAGAGTCTTTTTGGTCACAAAGTAAAATGCATAACTTAAATGCTTCATGAAGACTTACTGTTTGAGGATTTCCAAGTTTGCGTAGTGGTCTTGATTCTGAAGAACCATTGGTGACCTCTTGAGGTGAGGAAAAAGAAGGATTAGGCCTGAACAGATGTTCAAAGATGGCCATTATCAGAAACATTGATATCAAGATTGCTGTTGCAACAAAACCAAAAGAAATTGCATTCATTGATGTTCCAAAACTTTTCCATGGAGCTTCCCTATCAATATCTCCTGTTTGAGATGGCGCAGGGTCTGAACTTGTGTATATGTTCCATGGCTTTGATCTTTCAGAACGTAGCTCGTTCATAGTCTTCTTATCTTTTTTTCCTGAAGGATGATTGTGGGTAGTAACAACTCTGATTTATCAAATTTACACTTACAGCTTATCCAGACAAAGATTCAACGGTTGTGGTCTTGTGGTCAGTCATTATCCCTGGAACAGAACAAAATTAACACCGATGAATAAAGAAACTGCTTAGTTAACAAAGAGAACAAAAGTTCGACAAACACTAACAATTACAATGCGAAGAATGCCATCCTCCATCCATTTCAAGACAAAAATTGAATACAATGCTGAAGAAATGGTCATCTGATTGCAGATAGGAAAATTTGACCGAATTCGATAAGCTAGATGAACTGGCAATAAGTGAATAACTAGTTGTCTAATTCTAAAAAATCCAAGGAAACCTGAGGAAATTGTGTGTGAAACTTGACATGAATGCCATTTTCTGGACCTTTGCAACTTTCTTTGGAATTTCAACTACTCCTCAATTTCCAACAAGGGTATTTATCTGTTGAATACTACTAGGCTAAGTGCTGTTTTAATTTCAAACTACATGTAAAGAAACACTAATTACAACTTCTCAACTATTAGCCATGCTCCAAAGCTATAAATTCTGTGTTGAGATCGATTGAGAATTCCTCAGAAACTTCAAGTGCATGGACTAAATGTAGTAATAAGTTACTGCAATCAACAAAATAGTAGATGCTATATTATATCAATGTGGGCTTTAATTTATACACCAAAGTGCCTTTTATAAACTTTACCTTTCAGACTACACACTGGAATACTCAAAATGAAAGAATGAGGTGGATATAAAGATTGGTAAGGATCGCTGCAAAGTAAGAGCAAGCCTACTAATTACATTGTGCAGACCAGCATGCCCGTGGAAATTCATCAGCACACAGAAATTGCATATTGCCAGAGGATTATCTAATTCCACTAAGTAATTGCTATCTATAAACACAAGACTGCACAGATAAAGATTAAACTCAGAAGAAGACATGGTGAAAAGGATGCCACTTTTGATATACTAGATGTAAGGTCAGGAGCTGCAAAATTTATGGTAAATTATAACAATCTAGCCAAATGTAACAGAATAAAAAAAAAATAACACCAGAATTTGAGGGAATGTAATAGACAAGGAGACAGAACTAGAACTAACATAAATGTTTCGTACTCGAAGATATTGGTGAGAATGAGATGATGGGGATGCAAATTCTGCAAATCTTCAACTGATGTTCTTCTTGTGGTGTAGTGAAACAGGTGAATTGCTAAGTAATTTGCTACGCTATTATGATCATAGCTATATAAAGTGTGACCTGACCTTATCATGAGGAAGAGTTGGAAGGCATTTGGTTTTGGTCCTGAGAAGTAGGAGCATGGATTATCTAATTCTTGAGATCCTATAGGGTATTAGCTGCCCTGGAAAAACAAGACACACACACTTCTCAATGAATAATTTGAGCCCAGCTAGCTTTATACTCCAATACAAAATGTAAAGACAAAGTTATATGATAATCCCAGGCCAGCAGTACAATTTTTGATGTCCACGATCTTGATGCCTAACTTATTGAATACTATACTTTGTCTCAAGAAGCATACTTTAAGAAATCACAAGCATGGGCCTTCATGTCTGGAGAGCCGAAAACAAGAGTGGCCTGTTGGTGCTTTTAAAAAGTTGTCACCTTTCGAGTGCTGAATTACATTACATTAAACTTAACCGCACAATTAACCTGCATTTAACCTGTATCTCTAATTATGGAGGAGACTGGCTGGAGTTTGTGATGTATCAACTACTACTATAATTATGAACTAAAACATAATTATAACCACTTAAGTGATTGGTCAATTTTTCACATGATGGATGATTATGATCATAATCAAGAATAAAGCATAGTATTATAGAAAGGAAAACACTGCTGGTTAGTGCTAATAGAAATTTACTTACTGCCCTTTTCGATTAGTATTAATTACCTTCTTCTGGATAAAGTTTAAAGCTCATTTTGGTGGAATTAAACCCTAAGTACCTAACTCAAATCCAACATGACTATTGAGATGTAATCATGGGAAAGGTATAGCAATATCTCACATAATCTCCCATTAAATAAAAAGAATGAAAAAGCTGCTAGGGCATAAATAGGTTAAAATAAGCACTAAAGGCTGCTGCAAGTTGTATGTGTAATTTAATTTGAAATGGCTATTAGCGCATGTGAACTAAGACCAAGCATGAGAAGGGGGAAATGAAGAAGAAAAGAAGGAAAGACAGAGAGAGAATCAATGTTTTTGATAACTTACAGCTATGCAGTACCAAACCGCCATGATTTAAGAGAAGAAAGAAATGTCTGTGGCCAAAAGAAAAAATCTTGGAAAGGTTGATGATCTAGACCACATTTACTCCTTGCATTTCTTTCAAGAATTAAAAAATAAAATAAAGTAAAATTCAACAACTTGTTGAGAGCAACCCCATAACTTTTGTCAGAAACACTAAAGCCAAGAAGCATACTATTGACAAAACCCTAATCTTTAACTTTAAAAACATGTTACCCCCACAGACAGAATGAGATTACTATTAAGCTAAGAATCCTTCCTCAGCTACTTTACAAAACTTAAATTATTTTCCCAAAAAATAAAAATAAAAAATAGAGTAATAATTGCAACATAAATTATTAAAAGAACCCAGAAAAAGATAGAAGCTCTTTTACCTACAAAACATTGATTGAGACTCTTTTGTCAACTAGACAATCACCATGTCTGAGAATGAAATGAAAACCTTATCTTCACCAGTCACATTAAAATCTTCTATATATATATATATATAATATGCAATTTTCTTTTTCTTTTCTCTCTCTCTCTCTCTTTTTTTTTTTTTTTTTTGCAATTTTCACAACTTTTTCATGAAATTTATTAAAAAAAAAAAAGAAAAGAAAAGGGAAATTGCATTATATGTGTGTGTGAATGTAAATAGAGAGAATCCAGTAGAAAAGAATTGAGGTGATGTATTTTCTGATTCTTGATCGGATCTCTTGTCATCTTTTTCGTTTTTCTTTTTCCAAAACAACTAAAAAGAATCGATCCCAAAAAAGAAACTTAAAATGGTGCTCATCAGATCAAGAAGTGCCTTTCTTTATTTTTGAAATGTTAGAATTGCTACAGAAATTTGTATTTTCATGCACAAATGTCACCTCGAAAGAAAGATGATTGCTTCCCATTTCCATGTAAGACATTTGCAAAAGAGAGAAGAGGGTCCCATTACAAGAAAGCACTCAAAAGCAGCCGTTGAAAAAAGATTGAAGCATATATTTTCTCAGCTTTTCTTTTGTCTGTCCTTTTCTTTTCTCGTCTTTTCAAACACTAGTCTCAAAATGAAGCAACCCTTTGCTTTTCCGCCAATTTTACCAACCAATATTCTGTTGTTTGCTGCATGCCCCTTTTCATTTTCTTACAGAACTTAGATAATTTTCATAAATGAATCCTCTACTACTGTGTATGAATCTGAAACTTTTGAGAAAGAAATTAATTGCTCTTTTTCCTTTTGAAAGCTAATCATTTATGTTTTTACGTTTTAATCTATAAATAGCTTAGTATTTTTATT